TTGACAATTACAGGGGGGGAGAACTGTATCGACTACTTCTACAGAAGCCGCATCACTGGGGGGAAATTATCGCTTTTGCACTACAGAAAAAGGAGGGGGGGAAGGCCTTTTCTAGTTCGCCTTTCAAGAGCGGAGGTTTTATCCCCCGCCTCCCTGCCCCCATTTGAATGCTTGTCAGAGGCTCCAAAGAACCATTCCCCCCTTTCTTTCCATACTGGGGGGCGGAGGAGGGAGGGAGGGGTCCTGAGCCTCCGGGCAGGATTGACTTACCAGCCATCTCCTTGTCTAAGCCCCTGTTGTCTGGGGCTGTATGTGGGTCACCAATTAAGTCAGAGCCTTTTGCCCCAGTTCCTAAGAGCAGAGATGGCAGGAAGCAGAGACACCCTTCTTTTCCAGAACAGGATCCCCATCTGCCGCTTAAGCCCACTGGCCTCCAATGCCTGGGTCAGGGAGAAAAGCACTCTGGGTTGCGACAGGACCACTCTGCACATTGGCAACAGCGGGCCGACTTGGGCAGAAGGTGGGTCCCGCTCTGACCGTTCCTATAAACACCACGCGACAAATTATAGAGATGCAGGAAGATGCTTCAGGCAGAGTCAGACCGCTGGAGCCACCGAGCATTGAGTGTGGTCTACTGTCCTGGACTGAGACCAGGGTTTGAATCCCTACTTGGGAAGAAGGCTGGGATTTAAATTCAAAATAGCTGTAATCATTTAGTGTCTGTCACAGAGGGCAAGAGAACTATCAAGGGAGATCTTAACCCCTGAGAGGGTCTGTAGGCAAGGAGGCACTGGGGGCCTGAGTCGTTTAGGGCTTTAAACACTAATGTGAGCATCTTGGATCGGGCCCAGAAACCAGCTGACCGCTAGTTGATTTCGCACCCTTGAGGATTTACGATTGTGCCAGGAGACAGACAGGAGATTGCGCATCCTTTGAATGGACTCTTCCGGATGCATCCTGCGACAAGATGCAACCTGTGCCGTGGTATAATTCTGCAAGGAAAAGAAGATTCACCACTAAGCAACTGGGTGGGGCTGCTTCGTTCCGTTTCCTCATTCAGTAAACTTTGTATCAGCAGTTGCCTAGGATTTTCTTTGAGAGAGATTTGAATTTCCCCCAGACAAAACCCACTGCAAACACACCTTCTGTCTTTGGTGCTCTAACAGGCCCCCACGGCACTCCTTTGGCTCCGGAAAATAGAATAATAGAACTGTAAACTTGGAAGGGACACCCAAGGCTCATCTAGTCTCACCCCATTGCAAGGCAGGATTTCAAAGCTTGTCTGAAACCACCTTCCTGCATTGGTTTTACAGATCACCTGATTTTAGGAATCTAGGATGCTGGTTTATCCAGACCTTTGGTCCTTCTGGCCCAGTACTGCCAGCTCTGACCGGCAGCTGCTCCCCAGGGTCTTGGGCAGAGAAGGGTCTTCTTTAGCACCTGAGACCTGATCCATTTCAACAGAATGTGAAACCTGCCTCCAGAGCTCATATTTTTTTAAAAATGTTAACCTTTCGTGGGGCAAAGGATCAAGATGGCAAGGAACTGGAATGCAAAGGAATAAGTACGCCAGCCGCAGGAATACCACCTTTGCACTACGCAAAAATCGAAAACTGTTCCACCCAGATCTGCCTGGCAGGTGACTCAGAGGTGAAGCATCTGGCAAATGCGGAAGAGGAACCTGAAGGCGGTGACTGGATACACCCCGGGAGGGCAGAACCCACAGGCCAGGCCAGAGTCCAAAGAAAGGGCTGCGTTCCTGCCTATAAACAGGAGATTACGCACACAAGGAGAGGGCAAAGGCTGGGGCACACAGGCGATCTGTCATTGATGGCCAAAGGCTACCTGCTGGCACAGCGAAGCTTTTCTTTCCTTCCTTGCTCTCTACAAGAAATTTCTAACCCTGCGTGACAGCACCCAGGCACCTCTCCGGACGCTGTGCATTCCCCATTCATCTAACCCCAAGAATGCCGGGAACTGTAGTTTACAGGTGTGGGGAATTGTAGCTCTGAGAGGGGTAAGCCAAAGTGCCCAGAATTCCATGCTACTCTGCAATGGATCTTCAGGGTCTCAAGTGGAGAGGGACCCGGTACCGGATCTCTTTTAACAAGAGATTGAACCTGGCACCTTCTGCATGCTGCGTAGTAGCTGCTGAGCTACGGCCTTTGTGGCCCCCCACTCTGGGGAGATGAGGCCCCGACACGCATCCTGCACCAGTATGTTGCTGTGCAAAGCATGCCACAGACACGTAATCCTTTTAACACTATTAAGCAGGCCAGTATTATTATCCCCATAGTACAGACAGGAAGGTCGAGGCAGGAAGGACAGGCAGGTTGTCTATGGTTCCTAAAAGAGGCAGATCTAGGTTTGCAGCTTAGCTATGTGGCTGGCTGGCTGGCTGCATTTCCAAGGCCCAAGAAACCCACACATTGCAGCTGCAACTCAAAACACAGCGTGATATATTTGGAATTAAATTGCCATTTCCAGAATTAGAAGACCAAAGACCACAAAGGCAGTTATTGCCTGGCACCACCGCTGCCGGCCTGCGGCCCCTTGGGACAAAACCAGGAGGAAATCACAGCCCAAGGAGGTTCTGTAATTTAAGGAGCAGGATGAAAATCTCCCAGCCCCAAGGCAGGAGCAACAGTGGGCAGCGCGGAGGAGCTGGGAACATGGCTGACCCCCTCTCCCCAATTCCTCAACACACAGCTGGAGAAAGCTGCAAAGAGGGAGAATTAGGAACACGGGAAGCTGCCTTCTCCCAGACTGCCAGTCCATCTAGCCCAGTGTTGCCAGTCAGTGTAGACAGCAGCTTTCCACAGTGACTCTCCCAGCCCCCCGGGATTGAACCGTCTGCACGCCAAGTGTGTTTTGTGTATGTGCAAGGACTGGAGGCAGCTCCCTTTACTGCTGGGAGCTAAATGGGCTGCCCCCCCCATGCAGCACAAGGGGGGGGTACAGTGCGACTACGAGGGCTCCCCCCCCCCCACTGGCAAGTCATAGGTAAAGGTAAACGGACCCCTGACCATTAGGTCCAGTCGTGGCCGACTCTGGGGTTGCCGCGCTCATCTCACTTTACTGGCTGAGGGAGCCGGCGTACAGCTTCCGGGTCATGTGTCCAGCATGACCAAGCCGCTTCTGGCGAACCAGAGCAGCGCACGGAAACGCCGTTTCCCTTCCCGCCGGAGCGGTACCTAGTTATCTACTTGCACTTTGACGTGCTTTCGAACTGCTAAGTTGGCAGGAGCAGGGACCGAGCAACGGGAGCTCACCTGTTGCGGGGATTTGAACCGCCGACCTTCTGATCAGCAAGTCCTAGGCTCTGTGGTTTAACCCACAGTGCCACCCACCAAAGGCCATCTAGTGCGGTGGTTTCTAAAGTGGATGTGTCTTGCCTCCTTGGGGGGGGGGGGGAGGCAGTGGGATGACCTTGGTGGGAGCTCAGAGGCAAGGGGTCAGCTGGAAGTATAAATGCCTCTCAGACTTTGACAAGCTGGTATTACCGGATCAACTTCATCTGTTCTGTCGACTTAATTAAACTAAATAGTTTTAACTGGATTTTGAGCAAATGTGCAATTAATTGTGACCGTTTTAAATTTTATGGTGCTTATTATCCTCCTCAGTGGATAATAAGACCACTGTTCTGAACAATGCTTTTTTCAGGGTGGGGGGCACTGAAGCCGAGTTTCCACCCCCACCCCAGCTACCCAAAAAAGTTTGGGAACCCCTGCCTAAGTCAGACCTTTCAGAGTCAGCAAGCAGAATAACACCCTCACATAAGGAAGAAGAGCCTGGTTAATAAATACACGAAATTGTTTATTTAAAAAAAACACACAGAGAGAGAATGAGAGAGAGGCAGAGAAAGGAAGTCAGGAGCAGAAATCGTAGCTGCTCCTCCCTAACACCCCTGCGGGAGAAAACTGATTCCAAAAACAGGACAGAGGATGAAGGAGGACCAGATCCACTCAAAGACTCTGGGGCTCCCTATACAAAATATGGCTCTGTGATGGAGTAGGGGGCAGGGGGGGCCTCTCCCTGCCCTACTGCTCCCCCCACTAAACAGGAGATCGATCCAGGCCACTGAGTGGGCGGCAAAGGGGTCCAGGCACGAGGAGGGAAGATTATTGGGGTCAGTAGCCTCGAGAAGCTGGCCAGTGGCCGTACCTGGAAGGCAGAAGGGGCCTCGACCTCCACAAATGTCCGTCCAAAGCGACTGCAGGGCATCCCTGAGAGACCACCGAGGGAGACAGACAGAAAGACAGACAGACAGATAGACAGGCCCCCATTTAGGGACACATTCTTCCCAGGACTATGGCTAGGAAAGCTGGCTTTTTGGTGGGGGGAGAGAAGGAGGGATCTGGTGGAAGACTGGCCCATCGCAAAGCCAAAAGCCCCAGTGCGCTCTCTCTCTCACTGGGGGACCCCCCCCCCGAACACCCCAAAGCCAACCCCGGTGTTTGTCGTGGGGAAAGGGTCAAGCGTTCTTCCTGCCTCTTGAACCCAAGACCCGAAGGACAAAGACCAGGGCAGGATGCTCTGGAAGAAGAGCTGAGGAATTATTGGGGGGGGGGGAGGAAAACAGAGGCAGCCCAGCTGCTTTGGGGGGGTGGGGAGGAGATGGTCTCAAGGCAGGCAGGATTTCCTCCTTCAGCTGTAGCAAGTTAGCACCATTTGGGGGGGGGGGAGGCTGAGGATCAATCCAGAGGTCAGGACTACAAAGGGCAAGTTGGGCAAGACAAGAGTACAATATTTTCAGATGCAAAACTCTGATGCAGCACTCTGGAGAATCATAGTCTGAAGAGACTTCCACGGTCCATTTAGTCCAATGCAGGAATCACAGCTAGAGAACCCCCTTACCCAAAAAATCTCTGCTTAAAGACCTCCGGGGAACCGTATAATCACAGACTTGTAGAGTTTCAAAGGTGCAACAAGGCTCATCCAGTCTGACCCGTTGCAAAGCAGGAACCGATTTAATCCCGTCTTTCTGGGGACGAAGGCGCTCAGGAGATGATTTTCTGGGGGATCTCCACCGAGGCCTTGATGAAGACGGCGTTGTCCCTCACGTAGTTGCGCTTCTTGATGTCCTCGTGGGAGATGAACTTGGGGTACCCGAACCCCAGCAGGCTCTCGTCCAGGGACGTGCGCCCCGCCCCGGGCTTCTGGAAGTTCTTCCAGTTGGGATCCGGCAGGAAGGTCTCGGTGATGTGTTGCGGCTTGGAGAGCGAGGGGTCGCTCTGGTCCAGCAGGGAGAAGGTGACCCGGTAGGCGAAGGGCCACTCCAGGAGGTTGTCGTACTGGCCGGGCAGGACGCGGATGTAGACCGAGAGGTGGCTGCCCTCGCCGCTGCCGTTCCCGTTGAGGAAGGCCGAGACCTGCAGCCGGTAGCCGTAGCGGTGGGTGTAGAAGGGAGGGCTGAAGGACTCAAAGTTGCTGCGGGCCTTGGCCTCCTGCAGCTTGCGGGCGTAGTCGGCGATCTTCCAGATCAGGACGCCCTCGCTGCCCACCGCCAGCTCCTCCACCTCGCGGCGGAGGTCCCCCAGCTCCTGCCGCTGGCGAGCCACCAGGGCGCACATCAAGCCCAGGTGCATCTTCGTGCTCTCGTCCAGGTGGCGGCTCATGGAGAGCTTGGGGCACTGCAGGGGGGAGGAGAGAGACCGGGGACAGCGTAAGAACGAGAGGCCAGCCTGCCGGGATCAGGGCAGAGGACCGCCTGATCCTTGCAGAATCACAAGGAATAGGAAACCGGACGAAAGCAAGCGTCTCCAAACACTGAATTCTGTAGTTCGGGTCAAGGGTAAGAAGAGGAGCCCAGGCAGGATCAGGCCAAGGGCCCTACCTAGCCCAGACTCCTCTTCTCACAACCAGATGCCCCCTGGAGGGAAGCCCGCAAGCAGGATTCGAACACAAGACCGACCTGCGTGTAAGAACATCTCGCTGCTTCAGGCCAGTTGCTCAGCTAGCGCAGCCTCCTGTTCTCACAGTGGCCGGCCAGATGTCTATTATGGGAAACCTGCAAGCAGGATCTGTCTCTGACTGGTTGGTGGTCATCAACAGCCTTCTCCTTCTCCCTGGATCTGCCTAGTCCTCTTTCAAAGCCACCCAGGATTGTGGCCACAGCTTCCCCCTCCTGCCTTTCTTGCACAGGGACCTCAACACTGGACTACTGCAATGCGCTCTAGGCGGGGCTTCCCTCACAACTGATCCAGAAGCTGCCGTCGGTGCAGGATGCTGCAGCCCGGTTGCTGACAGGAGGGAGGCCTTGTCGGCACTTAACTCCTGCGCTCAGAGAACTGCACTTGCTTTCGGGCCACGTTCAAGGCGTTGCTATTAATATACAAAGCCCTTGACAACTTGGGGCCAATTTACCTGTGAGATCCGTTTACCCCATCTAGGCCTCTTCGATTGGGAGAACCAGAATTGTTACCTCTGCCACGTGAGACCCCTTCTGCGTTTATAAGAACTTGGTCCTTTAGTGTGGCAGAACCTGCACTTTGGAACTCCCTGCCTATTGATATCCGGCAGGAGCCTTTGCCGTCCTCTTTTCGGCGCCTGCTGGAGACATTTTTGTCTAAACAAGCCTACCCAGATGTTTAGAAAGCTGGGACAAGTTTTAACTTGTTTCTAGTTTGTTGTTGATTTTATCTTTGGGGTGTTTTAAAGAGCTGCTTTAATGATAATTTTATTGTTTTATTCTCTTTGTAAACCACTCTGAGGGTTGTTATCCAGCAGCCTCTCGTTTCCTCCAGTGGCCAAGCAGCTGCCTTCTCCTCACTTGCCCCAGACTCTGGCATTCAGAGGTAGACTGCTTTGCATCCTGGAGGCTCCACTGAGCCTCCACACCAAGCAGCCTTTGATTGCCTCTTCCTCTTCCAGAAATTTGCCTAACCCCCCTTTATTAAAAGCCCTCTCAGCCTACGGCCATTGTAAGACACATCCTGAGGCAGCAGCGAGGTCCGACAAGTCAACGACAGCCCTGCGGTGAAGGAGGACCTGTTCCAAACCTGCAATGATCTAGAAGGGCTTTAACACAGTCCTCAAAAGCCCTTCTAGTTAATTGATAATGCCCACAAATAAAATGGGAACTGGGGACCCAGAAAAATGGGTAAAAGAGTTTTCCAAAATGGACCTCCCCATTTCAGAAAACCTGTCCCCTTTTTAAATCACCCCTCTCATTCTCTTTTATTATATTCCCCCCTCAGAGCTGAAGGCAGTGTACACATCTCTCCCCCTTAAACTCACAACAACCCTGTGAGGAAGAGCTGGCCATGGCGATGACTCTGAAAATAACACGGCAGTAACTCTGAAAGGGCTTGTGCCACAGCGGAGAGGGTTTTTGGATGCCCGGCCTTGTCAGAGAGCGAGACTGGGGCGAGGGGCAGGCACAGCAGTAAAGGAAAGGCTGCGCGAAGGGAGGAGGAAGGCCTTACCCGGTGCTTGCAGCCAGCTTCTTTGAAGGGGCAGAGCGCCAGCGCCGTGGTGCAGTTCTCTTTCAAGTGCCCGCTGAGGTCTTCCCTGGCGATGCTGGGCACCCCACACTGGTTCGGGCAAGGCACGGGGTAACGCGGGCACTGATACTCGTGGTTCTGGGGGAGCGGAGGAAGAGGATTCAGACAAACTCCGAGACAGTTTGCAAGGGGGTAGACTAGAGAACTAGGTGAGCCCGGGGGGCGGGGTCCCTCTTCAGCTCTGCAATTCTAGGATTCTTGGGAGGTTTCTAAGGTTGGGAGGTTTTTTTAGCTGCAAATCCTGCACTGCAGGGGGTTGGAGTAGATGCTCCGTGGGGGGCCCTCCCGACTCTATTAACAGTTCTATTAAATCCTGATGCAAGATTTTTGTTAAGGTTTTTCATAATAAGTAAGATTTGGAAAACTAATGTAAATAAGAAAAAGAAAACAGCCCTGTATTAGGAGCTTTTTAATGCTTGATGTAAGATTTTTTTATTAAAGTTTTTCATAATACAGATGAAACAAATTTTAAAAAAATAAAAATTGTCCAGTAGCACCTTAGAGACCAACTAAGTTTGCTGGACAATTTTTTAAATTTATTTCTTCTGCGTCATACCAACACAGCTTCCTATCAGAATCTAAATTCATAATACGGTAAGATTTGGAAAACTAATGTAAATAAGGAAACGAAAGCAGCCCTGTATTGGGAGGTTTTTAATGCTTGATGTTTTTAGAAATGTTGTAAGCTGCCCAGAGTGGCTGGGTAAATCAGGGTATAAATAATAAAATTATTATTATTAGTAGTAGTAGTATTTAAAAGAGCAAATTAAAGGGAAAGGGAAAGAAGCCATTCTGCTATGTTCTGGAGCTTGCCAAGGGCTCCCCTGGTCCTCCCGCCCCCCTGTCCCCCTGTCGCAGGTCCCGCCTTCTCCCGGATCCCACCTGGATGGTGTCGTACAGGAACTCCTTGCTGCAGTAGCCGCAGGGCTGCGTGCGCTTGGGGCACTCAGAGAGCATGTGCTGAGACAGCAGCCGTCGCATCATCCGGGCGCCGCACTTGTTTTCACAGTAGACGCTCTCCTGGGGACAGAGGCCCTGGTGGTTCTGGGGGGATGGGGAAGAGGGGGAGAGGCCATGGGGTTAATACGGAGGGAGGGGGCACCAGAAGGACCCCTCCTGCCTGGGCATCCTCTCTGCGGGAGGGGCCACAGCTCAAGGGCAGAACAGCTGCTTGGCAGGTTCAAACCATCTCCAGGCAGCGCTGGGGAGAGTCCCGGCCTGAAACCCAGGACAGCTGCTGCCGGCTAGTGTGAACAACACCTCGCTAGGAGGGCCAAAGGTCTGGCAGCATTTGGCAGCTTCCTGTGTTCCTTAACTGAGGCCCATGAGGACCAGGAATCTCAATTATTATTATTATTTTAGGCGAAGGTCTGTAGCTGAGGATCTCTCCCTGGTTTTCTGGCCCCACCCCCATTTATTTACGTTTAAATATATGTTAGATTACTGGCATGCTGGCAGTGAAAACATACGAATAAAAATTTATTAAATCCATTTAAAAAAATTCATTAAAAGCACACAATAGCAAATCACTGCATGACAGTTACTGACAGGAGCACAGACAGAGACCGGTTTTGTCTTTCTCACCATTTGCTCGACTTGAAAATCAGAAAGTAAACATCCAGACAGGACCTCAAGCTCCAAGCACTGCATTGTGACATTTTAATGAATTAAGAATAATAATATTAAAAATGGATTTAATAAATTTGGAAGTCGAATGGACTTCTGGAAGTCAAAGAGCCCCTCCTCTTTTTCTGGGCTAAATCTCAGCCAACTGGCCTCTCTCCCCTTACAAAACAAACCAACCTCACCACCTGTCCTTGTCTCCCCATTCTAATGCTAAGCCTTCCCTCGCCTCTTAGATGCCCCTGACATTCCGAGGAGCTTTGTGACATCACAGCAGCTCAGCCAATGGCAGCAGCTCAGCAGGGCTGGCGAGTGGCCTGAGGCGGGTGCCTTTTGGACGAGGGTCTATCCTGACAACGGAAACGGACCCCAATGTTTTGCTCCACGGATGCCCTGGCTGCCCCACGGCCAAGAGACCCCGCCCCGTTTCCCAATCCCCGCCCCTCCGGCCCCGCCTCCTCACCTCGTAGGCTTCCCCCGTGAAGTCGGCCCCGCAGAACTCGCACTTGAGGTGGCGCTGGGGGCAGTCGTGCTGAACGTGGGGCGGGAGGTCCCGGCGGCTCAGCTTGGCCCCACAGCGGTTGGGGCAGGGCACCACGTTGTAGCTGCACGTCCCAAGGTGCACCTGGGCAAGACGGGGGGGGGGGGTCAGCCAGAAAACTTCTTCCTTTCCCCAGCCCTCTTCACACAGGTCAGGGAAGCCAGGGACACCAGGTTTGATTCTCAGGGAGGTCTAAGCTAAGATACCCTTCGTGGAGGGCTGCTGCCAGCCAGTGTAGGCAATATTGAGCTACACAGGCCAATGGTCTGACTCTGCCGAAGAGATCCTATTTCAAACCCTTAACCCAGAACCATGAGGACTATCATCTTAACTTCCTAAAAGTTTTAGGACTTGTAGGGACAGAACTACCTGAATTGTACAGAAATTTATTCATGTCTGCTACTACAGCAGCAAGAATGTCACTTGCCCAAAATTGTTAAAAAGATGTCCCAGCAAAGGAAGAATGGATACAGAAACTTATGGAATAATGCAGAAGTGGCGAAACTCACAGGAAGAAGAAGAAATCAAGATAACAAACTTTTTGTAAAAGAATGGAAATGGTTGATTGAATATTTACAGATAAATTGTAAACAGATAAAAACATTAGCAGGATTAGTGTAATAACCTGCAGTTTTAAAAGAGTATATATCTACAGTAGATAATAAAATGAGTAAGTTAAACAAACTTGGATATGCAGAAGATATTAAGAAATAAATTTAAGGAACCACCAAAAGAGGGGGAAGGAAGTCAAATGCTGGAATGTCAAACTGATTGTAAAACTAATGAAATGTAGAAATTGGGAAAGTATAAATAAAAACCTAAAAAAAACCAAAACCCATTATAACTTCCTTTTTAAGGAATGGGCCCCAGCTCTGTGGTCCAGAACCATGGGGACTACAGTCTTAACCTTATTTTTAAGGACTGAAGCCCAGCCCTCTGATCCACAATGCTTTATTCAAAGCCATGAGGACTACAACCTTAACCTTACTTTTTAAGGGATGGACCACATTAGGTCAAGGGAAGACGAGCACCATACCCCACCGATCCCAGGAGGGCTGAGGGCTCCCCATCCCTGGTTTTTCCAGCCTGTCTCCTCACCTGCAGATGGCGGACGGTCCCGCTCCAGCGGCACCCCTCCTCGCTGTGTATGCACCGGATGGTTAAGCTCAGGACCTGAGCCTCCAGTTCTGGGTCTGGGTAGATCTGGGAAAGGAAGGGGGAAATATGAGACGCAAAAAAGCCCCTGCAGGACAGAATTCTTTCCTTATTTTGATTAAAACAATTATTTATTACAAAACAATTTACACGTAACACAATCAGGACAAAAAACCCCCACAGAAACAAACGCAGACACTAACTAACAACATATCACTAACTTCCGATTCATCTCATTGTACTTTTTACACTTTATTAATCTATACGCACTTCATTATTATTATTTTTCTGTTACTTATCAAAAGAAATTTTACTTTTATAGTTTCCTTATACTTCAAATCTGTCAAGAGATTTGCATTATCATACTACTTTCTAAGGTATTCTTTCAATATTATCCAATCTTTGTTGCCTTTCTGGTTTAAGTCTCCTCTTATTCTCCCAGTCATTTTCGCAAATTCACTTGCCATTGGAGATTAAGCCGCCTTTCCAATTTTTTGCTATTAAAATCCTAGCCACTGTGGCTGCGTACATAAAAAGGGTTCTGTGGGTTTTTGGTATTTCAATGGACAATACAATACAATACAAAATACAAAACGCGGGGCAGCTTTCAAGGGGATGAGTTTTGAATGCAGAACCCACCACATGCAGAGTGCCTTGTTTCATTGATCCATTTATTTGTTTAAAAGTATTTATATATATTCTTTTTTCCTCTTTCCTTCTGTGATGGAACCCCTACTTGGGGACTTCCCTGGCTTTTTTCTGGCCCACGTAGGACCAGTCTGGCTAGTTAGCCTTGGTGAAGACTCGATGTTTTTATCCCCCAAAAAGTTTTTGAGTTTCTGCTGAAATGAGGCTGCATTTTAAGGTTGTCTTTTAATCTTGTTTTCAAGTTGTATTTCAAACAATTGTTTTATATTTGGTGTTAGCCGCCCTGAGCCCAGTCTTCGCTAGGGAGGGCAGGGTATAAATAAAAATTATTATTATTATTATTATTATTATTATTATTCATACAATCTCTCTCTCTCTCTCTCTCTCTCTCTCTCTCTCTCTCTATCAAGAGTGACTGACAAGAAGCACCTTCTGTTCTAACATTTAAATGCCTGACGAAAGCGCTTCTATTCTGCCAGGCAATTAAGAACAGTATCTTTCCACAACGGTTAATTATTAACTTTTTAAATATGGATTTTACTGTACAAACTAGGTGTCTTTAGGTGAGGAGAGAGGGAGGCAAGTGGGGGAGAGGAAGAGGGCCTCCCTGTAGCCCTCAGTGCCTACCAACGTTTCAGCTAGTAGAAGGAAGGGGTTCCTTAGGTGAGGGGCACTCACCTTGGCGTAGTCAAGGGGCAGCTGGTCCTCTGGACACTTGAAGACCCCCTCGCTGCAGGAGGAAAAGGAAGAGGTTGAGAAGCTGACCATCCCGGGAGCTTCTGTGACATCACAGCAGCTCAGCCAATGGCTCTTCCAATTAAGCTCCTCCCCCCCCATAGTCTGTACTCCCCACTACAAAACCAGCCATCTCCCACATATGTCATGCCAATAAAAACACATTCACCAATTTGTCCTCATTTTGCACAAGTTATTACTTTCCTTGGAAACATGAGGAATGGGATCTTATTTTATCGGGGGGAAGGGCCAGTGTTAGGACACGTGTTCTGCATGCAGAAGGTTCAATTCCTAGCAGCATCTCCCGGTAGAGACCGCCCTTCCCATCTGTGCCCACGCACCCGCTTCGATTGGCGAAACTGGCACTGTTAACGGGTGCCACACAAGGCCCGTTCCACATTTGCAAGAACTCAAATCTTTTTGGGCAGCAGCAGCCGCACTTTGGAACTCCCTGCCTATTGATACAAGGCAAGCCCATTCCCTGTACCAGCTCAAAACATTCTCGCTTGCTTTTCAGTCTACAGCTATTTTAACTTTTCGAGTTGTCTTCAGCTACGGTTGTCAAATTTTCCCTAAGGGATAATTTTACAGGTTTATCCTTTTCGTAAACCACTTCTTCCCCCCCCTTTACAATCATTTATAAATGAAATGAAATATAATAATACACGGGGACTGGCAAACGTCCCCCTGCCTGAAACCATGGCGATTCGCTGCTGCCAGTCAGTGCAGGCATCACTGAGCTTGATGGACCTAACGGAAGGAAAATTCTTTCTGAAAGTCTCCCGAAACCACTCTTGTGGCAAACGCTCCCTGCCTCTCTACCTGGGGAGGTCTCTGCCAGGGAGAGGAAGCAGCCGGGCTCCTCTAATCCCTTCCATCTGTCTGAAATCCTCACTCGGTGGGGGGACACAGCCGGCCCCATAAACCACCTGCCGCGTGGGCAGCAGAGCCCCAGGAGTGGCACGCAAGGGTGGTGGTTGGGGGGGGGGGAGGACTAAAACAAACAAACCTCAATAGTCGGGAGCAACCGGGCGGAAGCAAGAGCGAGCTGGGAAGAGGGCCAAATCCTGCTAATCCCAGTGTCACATCTGTCAGGCCAAGCCCTGCCCCATTTCCCACCGTGTGTCACCCCCCAGCTTCACGCCACGGGGGCCCTGCAAAGTTAACACTCCAGTCCCGGCTTTGCAGAGGAAATGGAGACCCAGCGGCCAAAGTGGGGCATTTATAGCTCACCTTTATTCTCCAAGGAGCTCAAGGTGGCCTACAAAGTTCTCCCCGCTCCTCATTTAATCCACCCAACAACCCTCCAAGGCAGGCTGAGAGGCCGTGACTAGCTTCCAAGGTCTGGCTTCTGAGTGAGGATTCGAACTCGGGTCTCTCCCAGGTCCTAGTCCGAGACTCTTAACCACTAGGCCACCCCGGCTCCAAACTGTCTCGTAAGATGTTTCCTAATATACCCCCCCCATCCAAGCACTCTCTAACAGGGATTTCCTTTATTTTCTCTGATCTGTGTGGGGTTTTTAAAAAGTGTTAACAGCAACAAAAAGTGCACACAAAACAGAAGAAAAGAAAGAATTAAACCATAAAGCGTCACAGGCTGGAAGGACAAAAGTACAAGGATACAGCAAAGCTCCAAAAGGATAAATAAATATCAACTCGTACAACGATTCCTTTTACAAGGAAGATTAATATTCAAAAGATATTCTGCACCTGTGAGCTCCATTATTCTTGAGAATAAAGGTTCTATATAGTTTTAAATAAGCCAGACATTTGCATATACTGTGCCGCAATATTTGTATAAGAGGTAAATTCGTGCTGTGTATTTGAAAAACGGTCACTCTGACCTATTTGTTATCACCTCTTCATCCCACCTTCGCACCAAGGATCTTGGGGGGCTGCCCCACAGGACTCTCTCCCCATTTCACAACAACCCTGTGAGGGAAACCAGGCTGAGAAGGCCCAAAGTTGCCCTGGCGAGCTTCCAGATGGGCAGAGTGGGGATTCGCACCCGGTCTCCCAGAGTCCTATAATCCATCGCTAACCACTACGCCTGCTGGCTAGGCACAAATTGGGAGTCTGTTGGGGTGCTCCTGGCATCTGAACTAAGTGGTGGTCAACCAGACACATTCAAAACAAAGCAAAACAAAAATACTACATTTTGAAATTTTGCTACTGCAGTAAGTCTGAGGTAACCAGAACCCAGGTGTGCAAGCCCTTATATAGACTTTTGAATTTGCCACCCTGTAGATCAAGACCACCCCCAGAAACATCATACATACATCACAGAAGGGGTATAACCCAAGACCACCACCCCGATACATCATACCTACATCACAGAAAGGACGGACTACAGCAGAAATCTGAGTGCTTTGTTTACCTCCTGTCTGCCAGGTTACCGGTTTAATGGTCACTTGATTGGATTGCCTGGCCAGTCTTTTGCAATGATAAATACTTAGTTCCTGAGCCAAATGTGCCCTTATGACAGGATTTGTGAAGGAAAAGACAATGGGGAGGCTTTTCCATTTTCCTTTGACCTTGCAGAAAAACATTTGCTCAGTTTGGGAATCAAAATGGGTTCAGGTTGGCCTTCCTGTGCTGATCTATGTAAGTGCTTGGTTGGTACACTTATGAACATTTAACATATATCTAAGACCTCAAAATTCCTATCACACAGGTTGGCAGCCATCTCTGCCTCCTGTGGCAGGGAGTTCCACAGTTTAACCCCGCGCTACGTGACTAATTCCTTCCTTTCCCCTCTCCTGGATCTTCCAGCATTCATGGTTCCGGTGTTATGAGAAGAGCTTTTCTCTCTTCGCATCCTCCATTCATAAATTTCCCGTTGTGTTGCCTCTTTACTCGCCAAACCCAAAACTCTGGCCTGGCATGGCTCTCACAATATTCCGATTTGCAGGGCAGGTGGTTGGACTAGAAGACCTTAGGGGTCCTCTTCCAACGCTCTGATTCTAGGACTGCTTATGGCTGTGTCTTTTAGAGCTGCTGAAACAAAGCCGGCCCGACAGATGATGAAAAACAACTTTGCCGGCTCCAGGAAACTTGAAACCAGGGGTGGCAGCTGTGGGAAAAACCAGGCAGCTGCTGGGGGCTGGATCCGAGAAGAGGCTGCCAGCGAAGGGAGAGAGCCAAGCCCTTGTCTGTGGTTTGGCCAGGAGACAAGAGAGCTCCTTCACACCAGAACAAGACGTGAGACTGCGGCAGGATGGAGGGGAGCCTGACGCCTGGATCAGGCCAAAGGGGGTCCCACCCAGTCCAGGATCCTGTCCTCACAGGGGCCAACCAGATACCCCAGTGGGAAACCCACAAGCAGGATTCGGGCGCAAGAGCAATTCTCTCCTTTCCTGCGGCTTCCAGCAACAGGGATGATGATGATAATAATAATAATAATAATAATAATAATTTTTATTTATACCCCGCCCTCCCCAGCCAGAGCCAGAGCCAGGCTCAGGGCAGCTAACACCAATAAAATCACAGTAAAATCAGGAGAAAAAGAGAAGGGGGGGGAACCAATTTAAAATACAGGTTAAAATGCAATTTAAAATGCAGCCTCGTTTTAAAGTAGCCGATAAATCAAGACCATAAGGGGAGGGAAACATAAGGGTCAGACTGAGTCCAAACCAAAGGCCAGGTGGAACAGCTCTGCCTTGCAGGCCCTGCGGAAAGATGTCCAGTCCTGCAGGGCCCTGGTCTCTTGTGACAGAGCGTTCCACCAAATCGGGGCCACAGCCGAAAAGGCCCTGACCCTACGTGAAACCAATCTAACCTCCTTGAGGCTTGGGACCTCCAAAGTGTTGTTATTCGTGGACCTTAAGGTCCTCCACGGGGCATACCAGGAGAGGCGGTCCCATAGGTACATGGGTCCTAGGCTGCATCACCATCGCTGCCTCTGACCGTGGAGCCATCCTGGCTTGCAGCCATTCACAGTCTTCTCCTCTTCCATAAATTTGATCCTCTTTGAAAGCCATTACGGTGGGTATCCATTGCTCCAGTGGCAGGGAGTTCCAGAGTTTAACTATGCGCTGCATGAAGAAGGGTTTCCTTTTCTCCGTCCTGAACCTTCCAGCGCTCATCTTCACAAGTTCTAGTGTTGGGAGAGAGGGAGGAAGACTCCCCGCCCCAGTTGCGATCCTCAGTAACTTTACTGGGAGAGTGGAGCCACTGTGGCTCTTGCCTAATGAAACGCCAGCCGGCCCAAAGTTCCTCTCTCTTATTTGCACCCGGGGACTCCGACGCCAGCAGCCCCTCCAAACGGCATCGCCAAGCACACCAGGTCGCTCCACTTGCGCACGGCGCTGCCCTCAGCTTCTCCTCTGAGCCAGGGAGCCCATGACAGGCACGACACCTGGCCCAGTGGGCTGTGGACCAGGCAGAGAACTTGGCTCCTGGGGGGTCGTGGGATCTGGGTCTCCACTGGGCCTATGTATCCATCACAGAGAAGCCACGATGGATCAGCAGCAGGGATGACACTCAAGCTATGTCTGCCACAAACTGTAATCTCCCTGGGGCAACGATTCTTCTGGAACTTAAGAATGTAAGAATTCACTTCGACAGCCCTTTGTTCGTTATGCAGGTGAGACACCACCACTTAAATAAACCAAGGAAACTAATTCCAAGTCCAGCATCCAGGAGGACCCAACATTTATTTCTACAGCCGTACCTTGGTTTTCAAACAGCCTAGTTCTCGAATGTTTCGGCTCCCAAACGATCAAAACCCGGAAGTGACTGTTCCGGTTTCTGAATGTTCTTTCGGAAGCTGAACGTCCGACAGGGCTTCCGCGGCTTCCGATTGGCTGCAGGAGCTTCCCGCAACCAATCAGAAGCCACGCGGACTTCCGGAACAGATTCCGTTCGACTTCCAAGGTACGACTGGATTGCAATAGGACAGAGCTCAGCCCAACGTGCCAAGAGAGGTGTGCCCTGGGGCACTTCAGGACAAAAGATTATATAGCAGTTCAAACATGGCAAAGAGTCATAAAACATCTATGCATTCTTAAACATACGTCAGGAAAGGTTACAGGTCATGAGATACAAAGATCACAGAATCACAGGAAGGGATCACGAGGGTCATCTAGTCCCACCCCCTGCAATGCAGGAATCTTTTGCCCAATGTGGGACCCGAGATTAAAAGTCTGATGCTCGACCGACTGAGATACACGACTCCACACTGGCGTCAACTTTCTAGCGAGGTCCCAAAACATTTGGTCTCAACGTACAGCTTATCGGACAGTTGCGTCTAGGCAGCCAGACCTTCAGTAAGAAGGGAGCAGCGTCATAAATCTCTCCCCCATCTCCTCTTCCGGCGTCTCACCAAGCTTCAAGGAGAGCCTGTGCAACTCTTGGCAAAACATCCTTTGCCCTTCGAAGGTCAGGTAACGTGGGAATGGAGGTGGCATGAGGGGGACAAACCGCAGGCGACAAATTCAAGCCGAATGCATTCTAAAACGCTACATAATCAAAACAGGAATTTGTTTCAAAATGGGAGGTTTTCAAAGATATTTGAAAAATAAATATAGTAGTTTAAATTCTGTTGCAGCATTCGAGGAACTTCAGTAATAGTTGCAAGGTAGATATAAGGAATTAGATCTATTAAGAAAAATTTTAATTAGGATAAAAGTGTGTATTGGCAATAAGTAATATGAAATCGAAATATGGAATAGACGGGAGGTTGGGTCTTTAGTGTTAAGACCAATATATGTTTTATTGTTTGTTAAGAAAATTATGTGTCTATGGTCATTCCTGTGTGTAATTTGGTATTTGTGTTTTTTCTTTTTTTCTTGCTGTATCAATAATAATTAAAACAAAAACAAAAAAAGTTACATGCAAATAAAGTGAAACACCGAAATGTTATTAAAATCAAAAATATACACCTTGGGTCTCTAATCCTTATATCACTAAGAAGAGCCAATGGCCCACCTGGGCCAGCCTCCTGTTCTCACAGTGGCCAACCAGATAGCCAAAGGGAAACCAGGAAACAGGATTCGCACACAAGAGCAACTGTCCCCTCCTGCCGTGTCCAGGAACTGCCGTTCAGAAGCAAGACTGACTGTGGAGGCAGAGCAGAGCTGTCCATCGCCCTCTTCTCCAGGAACTGGCAGAGTTCACATTTAAAGCCACCCCAGTTTGTGGCCGTCAGTCCCTCTTGTGGCAGTGAGTTCCACAGTTTAACTACGCTCTGCATGACCAGGTCCTTTCTTTGACCTCTCCTGACTCTTCCTCCACGACTTCTAAGGTTATGAAAGAGGAAAACTTCTCTCTCTTTCCACTTTCCTCGATGCCATGCAAAATTGGATAAACTGCCATCGCGTTGCCTCTTCCTCGCCTTTCCTCCAAGCTAAAAGGTCCCAAACGCTGCCTCCTTTCTTCAGAGGGGAGACGCTCCCTCCCCTCAATCATTTCGCTCACCCCTTTTCCAACTCGACAATCTCCTTTTTGAGGCGAGGCGACCGGAACGGTCAGCGGCGCTTCAAACGCGGCTGCACCACAGGTTTGTGCAATGGCATCATGAGACGGGCAGCTTTATTTTCAGTGCCAGTTACTGCTCTGGCTCGACTCCATCAGATCGGCTGCCACCGATGCTGCTCTCTCTCCCAAGCCAAGCAGGGCCTGGCGGCCAACGGGAAAGCGCAGAGGTCCTTTGGGGCCACCCCTGGCCGGGACACGCTGCGCCAAGCAGCTATGATCCTTGGCAAGGAAAAACTTGCAGCAACGGCCAGCGGGCGCAGCGTGTGTGACCTGTCTGGGAAGGAACACACACATGGAGCCGGGCGACTGCCTCTCCTCCCTCAGCCAAGAGATGTGATTCAGCTGGGATTCCTGCGCTGCAGGGTGGGTTGGACTAGATGACCCCCAGGGTCCCTTGCAACTCCACAATTCTTTTCTTCTTCTTCTTCTAAATCTTATTAATTTTTTTAATTTAACATAATTGTTACAAAATATAAGCAAAATATTGCAGATGATAATGATGATGATGATGATGATGATGATAATAATAATAATAATAATAATAATAATAATAATAATAATTGTTTATACCCTGCCCATCTGGCTGAGTCTCCCCAGCCACTCTGGACGGCTTCAAATCAAGTGTTAAAAACAATACAGCATCAAATATTAAAAACTTCCCTAAACAGGGATGCCTTCAGATGTCTTTTAAAGAGAAGCTAGCTGCTTATTTCCTTCACATCTGGTGGGAGGGCGTTCCACAGGGTGGGCGCCACTACTGAGAAGGCCCTCTGTCTGGTTCCCTGTAACCTCACTTCTCGCAATGAGGGAACCGCCAGAAGGCCATCGGCGCTGGATACATACATACATATATATTTCAAATAAACACATATATATATATATATGAAAAAAGGAACAAAAAAAGAAGAAAAAATAAAGAGAAAAAAAGAAGAAAAGTTGGAAGAATTTTTTCCAAGTTTATTCTACAAATATCTCAATATGAAAATAATAATAAAATTTCATTGATTGACTTCCATCGCTTACACTGCACTTTCTATATACATTTTAAGCAACGCCACGATAAAGATTCCACATTTGCTTGAGTGTGATGAAGGCAGGGGCACGGAGAGGCGGCAGGTCGCCCCAAAAGCTTGCTCTCTGAGGCAAGCCAGGCAGAATAATAGAATCATAGCTGAGAGGGGCCCACGGGTCATCTAGTCCAACCCCCTGCAATGCAGGAATCGGGGCAAAGCTTTTGGAAGAATTGCTGGGGGGGGGGGAGACTGGAAGCCTTGGCTGAGCATAAAAGGACTGGCTTGGGACTAGCTAAAGGCACTAGAGCAGGCTTCCTCCAGATGTTTTTGGCCTACAAGTCCCATGATCCCTAGCTAGCAGGACCAGTGGTCAGGGGTGATGGGAATTGTAGGCTTCCTCTCTCCCTTCCCCAAGCACTTCGCCCCTTGAAGGAACAGAGCACTGGCCTAGGGGTTTGCCCCCCACAATCTGCAAGCCCAGCTGGGTCTCGGGGCAAGGGGGCACCAAAAATGTGGGGATGCACACAGAGCTATGGCCTTTCCTTTTTTTTAAATAAAAGAGACAGCTAAGGTTCTAGTCCTCATGGTTCCGAATTAAGGGCTTCTTGAAATAGGAACAAAGGACGCTGCCCGTGCTCAGTGGCCCCGGGAAGCCTCTGTGTGTATGCAGAGTGCATCTCCCTGAGCCGATGCAAGCATGGAGGTGGAGGGGAGAACTGCTGAAAGGCAAGCTGGAGGGAGCAGGCAGCCCAGCTGTGGGGCAGAGTTGACCTCCGTCTGCATGGCTGAAGGTTGGGGAGGGGGGGAACCGGTTTTTCTGCCCTTCCCAGGCTGCTGCCTCAGCGCATTCCCTGCCCAGCCAAGTGTGATGGGCCCAGCAGGCTGTGGTGGGGATTAATCTGCAGCACCCCCCACCTTGGGAATTTCCAGACCCTCTAGATTTAACCCTTTGCACCCCTGGAGCTGAGCTCTGCAGGGAGAGAGACCCTGCCCTCCTCCTTTGAGCATAAAAATCACCTCCTAACCATTCCTTCCAGGTAAAACACCCCAGGAAGGTAGCCTGATTACATCCATTTTCCAAGTAGGAACAGCAAGGTGGCTCAATCGCCTGTCTTCAGGGTGTCAGGACAGCTGCTTGGCATGCAGAAGGGCTGGGGGTGCCCCTTGCCTGAAACCCTGGAGAGCCTCTGCCAGTCAATGTAAGCAGTAAAGAGCTAGCTGGACCTATGTACCATCTTCCTTTGCTCCTGTTCAAATCAGCCTCCTACTCACGACCTTGAGGACTAGAATAGTGCGTTCTTTTTAAAAGGTACGGGAAGCAAAGCACTTTCAGCTTTGCACGCAGAAGGTGCCGGGTTCAACTCCTGACAACATCGCCGGGCAGGGCTGGGGGAAACCCCAGAGAGCTGCTGCCAGTCAGTGTGGCTGGCGCTGAGCAAGGTGGACCAATGATCTAACTTGATCTAAAGGCGGCTTCTTCTCTCCCCCTTCTTTCCAGCCCTCTTGTGTCCTGACTCCAAGCTCAAGCCCAACCCACAAGAGGGGGCTGGATTTCAACTGCAATTCAGGGGGTTGGACTGGATGACCCTTTGGGGTCCCAGGCACAGGATCTCGTAGCCTTAAGGTGGAATCCAGCTCCTTGGCTTTGGGCTCTTGACTCTGCCCCTCCCCACACCTGTGCGCCTCTCCCCCTCCAATCAGCCCCCTATGGATCTGCTCTCTCTCTGGGGAGGCCACAGTGGAATGAAGGAAGTCAGGGGCGGAAAAAATGCTTTCTGCATTCTTGAAAACACAAAACCCTTTTATGTCTCCCTCATTATCTCTCTCTCACACACAGTTGTGCATCAAGGGCCAGGCAAGCAAAGACATGCCTATCCAAATCCCCTCACTCCGCAAGGCTTGAACCCAGAACCCCAGGAAAAGATCAGCCAAAAAGGAAAGGTTCAGGGTGTCTGCAAAGGAGCAGAAAAGTTTAGTCAGAAGGATGTGTCTGTGAAAGACAGAGAGACAAGAAGTGTCCCTATGAAATCGCACGCACCGGTTCACGGAAAGCTAGTGTGCAGTGGTCAGAATATTGGGCAAAGACCTGGGAGAGACCAGGGTTCAAATTCCCCCCCACTCTGCCATGAAGCTCTCAAGTGGTGACCTTGGGGGCCGGTCACCGACTCTCAGCCTGACCTACCTCGCTGGGTTGTTGTAGGGACTAGATGAGGAGTAGGACCTGGGAGACCAGGGTTCAAATCGCCACAGTTCACTGGGTTTGACACTGGGGGCCAATCACTGCCTCTCTCAGCCTAACATACCTTGCAGGGATGTTGTTGTGGGGATTAAATTGGGGGGAGGGGGGAGCCATGGATGCCACCTTGAGCTCCTTGGAGAAAAACCCGGGATATAAATGCAGTAAATAAAACAAAAGAACAAACGTATTGCATCAATTCAGCCTCAACACTTCAGCGCGAGAGGGTTGGAAACATGCAGAACTCACCAAAGGAATGCAAAACCTGAACCCCCCAAGGTAAGAGGAGGCTTGCAAAGATAGCTATGAAATCGCACGAAACTACTATGACCCAAACACACACACAGAGTGCACAGGCCGACCCAAACGCCTGTGCCACACCCGGGAGACTCACACAAAATTTATTCTAGCAAAGGCTTTCCGTGGGTTTAAAAGGCTCGCCGGCCTTCAAGGTGCGCACAAGAACTCGGGTTTTGTTTTCGCAGCAACGCTCTGGAAACGGTTACGCAAGGACGGGGCTCTTGAACTGGAAAAGCTGCTGTCAATCTGCCTCGCGGGCGTCTTTTCCGCTCCGTGAATAAGTAGGCCCATGGATCAGACGCACACACTCATTCTCTGGAACACCTGGAACGGTCCCCGGCTGACTAACAGTTCGGTGAAACTCTGAAAGCTTGCCTACGTGCCAAGCAAAGTTGGAGCAATAAAGAAGCTTTGTGCATGTCGGTGTCCCCAAAGTGGAGGGGGGGTCTCTGTTTGAATGAACCCCCAAATACCAGTTCCCGGGGGCAGGACGAGTGGTCTTGTGCTCACGGCACACTTCTGGGCTTGCCTTCGTTGGCTGCTACGTGCAAATGTATCCTAAGGGGGGGAAAGTCTTCTAGATATATGGTTTTATTGCATTTTTATCCACCCCCCCCACAAGGAGCTCAAGCCGGTGTACATAGTTCTCCTGCTTCCCATTTTATCCTCACAACAACCTTGTGAGGTAGGCTGGGCTGAGAGTGGGTGACCGGCTTCCAAGGTCACACACCCAGTGAGCTTCGTAGCTGAGTGAGGATTCGAACGCTGGTCTCCCCCGGTCCTATCCAGACATTCTGACCCCTGTACAATTTAAGCATAGGATTTAAAGGGGCTCGCAGCATGTACACCCCGAAATATCTCGCTTAGTCGCAGTTTTGGGCCCAGCACAGAGCAAGCAGGTCTTTGTATCTCCAGCTGCTTCCATCTCAGCTCAGACCCAAAAACTCTGGCTATTGTTCTGCTACCTGGCAGCCAGGTGAAGCAGGCGGCGAGGAAGGGCCCCTGCCCAGTAGCCTGCAGGGCCCCCTGAACTAGCAATCCCAGGTGCAGTGCTTGATCCGCACCCCACCTGCAGCCACAACAGCTGTAGTCCTTCTCCCCTCAAATCCCTGGTTAATGCCAGACATCTAAGAAAGTTAAACATTACAGGAATGCAGGCGGCTTATCAACTTCCCCCTTCTCCACCAAAGCTCAGATTCTGAGTAGATCAGGAAGTTTATTTTTTTTTTGGGGGGGGGGGGAGTGCTGGATGAGGCTCACACACTGCCTCCTCTTCCCTTCCCTGCCTCTAAAATGCAAAATGCCAAGGCCAACCTGGCAGGGTTGTTGGGAAGCTGCAAGGAGGCGAATTGCAAAGCGACCTTGGTGCCAATATGCTAAGCACCTCTCCCGCGCCCCCCCTTGCCAGTCATGCAAGGGCCCCCACTGCCTCGCAGGCCTCTCTGCCCGTTACATACCCCCCCCCCCAAAAGCAGCTTTTCTACAAAGGCCAGAAAAATTCACTTAAGCAGACAAGCAGTCCCTGCTTGTTAGTTAGAGAGATCTTATTACAAGAGGGGTTGGCAGAAAGAGAGAATTCCCAGCTTTTTTGGGGTGGGGGTGGGCAGAGGAGATCAGTCGCTACAGCCCCTCCCAGATCCCCAACACTTAACTATTCAATGCCCAGGATAGGGAGATCCGGGAAAACTTACTGCCTTTACCCACGAAACACAAACATATACAGAGGCACGCCTTTGCAGAGTCAAGGGAACAGCCTGACCACAGGGCACCTGAGCGGCGGGAGAGGCTTGAACCTTGGACTGGAAGGGAAGGGGAAAGGCAGATGTTTGTAATTGCGGATGGGAAATCAGGGGTGGGCACGAGCTAAATGGGATTAGGTGGTCTTTACGGGGTGGCAGGGAGGGGGATTAGAGGGAAGGAGGGAGCTAGCTGGTTAGCTGGCCAGGATTATTATTATTTATATTTGTAGGATTGTAGAGTTGGAAGGGACCCCCAAAGGTCATCTAGGCCAACCCCCTCTTGCAATACAGGAAATGACAGCTAAAGGAGCCCTGACAGGTGGCTATTGAATCCGTTCCACTGCTGAACAGCTCCCTTCAGATATCTGAAGGGGGCTCTCGTATCTATTATTATTGTTGTTGTTGTTGTTGTTGTTACTATTATTATTTCTTTGTTGTCTTCCTTACAGAAATAGCTTTGCAACTGGGTTGTTTGGAATATATCTGAAACATTCTTTTATATTGTCTGAGTTGACTTCAGAAGCTGCCACGGGAGGGCTTTGCCCTGCATTTTTTCTGAGATTAAATATCAATAAATATTTGCCAGCCAAGAGCATTCTCATCTTCCCAGAGGACGGGGAACAGCATGTGGCCATTTGAACACCACCAGGCTCCAACTACCCCATGTAGCCAATGTTGGGGGTCAATGGGAGCAACAGCTCTCCAGAGTTTCCTGAGAAATAAAGGTGCCAGTCCTCATCGTTCCAAATAAAAGGGCTTATTTAAACAGGAACATGGGAAGCTGTTGTGTCAGACCACTGATCCAGCTAGCTCAGCCTTGTCTGCCGACACGGACTGGCAGCAGTGGCTCTGCAAAGTTTCCTCCCCAACCCTACTTAGGGATTCTGTGCCTCGGACCTTCTGCATGCAAAGCCGGGGCTCCGTCACTGAGCTACAGCCCTTCCCCAAACCAGACACCTGATCCATCTAGCTCAGTATTGTCTGCACTGGCTGACAGCAATGGCTCTCCTGGGTTTCAGGCAGGGAGGGTTTCCCAGCCCGACCTGGAGATTCCAGCGGGGATTGAAACTGGGTCCTTCTGCCTGCAAAGCAGAAAGTGCTTCATCACTGAGTTACGGCCCTTTCCCTAAAAAAGAATGCAAGACACTAGTCCTCATGGTCCTGAATTTAAACAGGAAGGGAGGACGGAAGCCACTTAATTATACGCAGACAGATCCAGCTAGCCTACTGCAAAAGGGGGGTGGGGTTCTCCATTGAGGACCCAGCTGTGGCTCTCGGGCTCTGCTGGGTGGGTGCCGGACTCTGATTCTGAGGTTCAAATCATGGAGTTAAGGGACAGATAACCCGAAACCTCAGCCACGCCCGGGGGGCTCACAGCAGCCCCCAAACCTGTTTCCCAAGGCCCAGAACACACAAAGCAATGCTTTCTTTGGCTTGTCTACCTCGGACGAAAGGAGACGTCAGTCCTTGCTGGCTTCAACAGGCAGAAGAGACTTATTGGATCAAACAGACCCCTCCGCAAAAAAAAAAAAATAAAAAACCCACCCCGCAACCTAGCCCAGCATCCCGCTTCCAACAGAGGTCAGCAATAAATCCACAAACAGGCCCCAGCGTTGGCTCCCAACATCAGACAGTTCGCGGTAGACTGCCGCTGGAGACAGAGGCTTTATTTCAGCTCATCGCCGACCATCCGCTAAGAAGGCCCCCCTCTTTTTCCGAGGCCCTTGACAACCGGGGTGGGGTGGGGAGGACAGGAGGGACCCTTCAAGGTGAGACAATAGCAGGCAGAACAATAGAAAAGAGTGAGGTGAGAGAGGGAGGCAGCCCAGCAAGACTCCGCGCCGCCGCACTCTGCACATGCTCAGAGAAGCGGCCTATCCCATTTGCCGCTGCCGAGCCAAGTGCTGGGAAATGGGGGGAGCCCCCAACGAGGGAGGCGGGTGGGGGGCCCCTCCAGTTCTCCCTAGGAATGAAGCGGGCGCGGAACAAAGGAGGCGGCGAGCCGGGGAGGCGGCGGCGGCGCGGTGCGCCCAGGGCGCGCGAGCGGGGCTCTCCAAGCAAGCGCGCTTTGGAGAGGCGCGCAGGGGCCGTGCGCCTCCGTCTTCCTGCGTCCGGATCGCGCCCCCTGGCCGGCCCGGCCCGGCTCCTCCTTCCGCGGGGACTGACCTGAGGAATTCCTGCAGGCAGGTGTCGCAGAAGCGGTGGCCGCAGGTGGAGACGCGGACGGGCTCGCGCATGGCCTTGGCGCACAGCGGGCACAGCAGCCGCCGCTTCGGCTTCTCCAGGAACTTGTAGTCGAAGCCCGGCATGGTCCCGCCGGCCTGCCGGGGAGAGGCGCCTCCGCAGGCCCCGCGCCGGCCCTGTCGCCTCCTGCGCCCGCCGGCCTCGCAGGTCCTGCCGGGCGACCCCTATCCCTATTGTGTGCAGCGCCGACTTAGGCTCGCCTAGGCAAGGCAACGCCACGCCTCTCCGCCTCCTTCCCCTCCCCGCGCTCTCTCCGCCTCCCCTCCCCGCCTCGGGAGGGTTGCCAACTTCGCTCCTTTCCTCCGCTCCTCTGCCGTCGAGGGACGCTTCCCCGCTTCTCTGGTTTGGGTGGTTCTTTTTCTTCTATTGCAGGCTGAGCCTCCCCTCGCTTTCTCTGTCTTTTTTTTTGGCTTGGGAGGGCTGCCAACTTTGCTCCCCCCCCCCCCCCGCTTTTGAGAGAGAGCATTCTGTTCCCCAGGTTTGGAGCGCTGGGGTCTTTCTTTTTCCACAGCTGCAGGCGCCATACCTGGAAGGCAAGGAGAAGCAAATGCCTCTGACTAGCAGTCGCTGGGAATCTCAAGTGCAGAGAGTTGCTGCTGTTCACTCTGGTCCCTCTGGGGGGGTCACCGTGAGAGCAGGAGTCAGGACTAGGTGGGCCGTGGGCCTGATCCAGCTGCAGAGCTCTTGGGGCAAATGGGGAGGGTCTGCCAGCAACAGAAGAAAAAGCAGCCCTCCAAACCAGAGAACCCCCAAACCCCCTCTCCGCTGGCCAGTAATGGCCCACATACTACCAGCTGTTAATCCACCACCCAGAGAGGAATAGCTAGGCTTCCTTGCACCTTTGGCAAAAAGCTGTATCAACACCCCTCTCCCTGGTACCTTTGGCAATTGCTGGCTCTCTTAATATTTTTGTGATTTTTGCATCCCTGTGCCCTTAGCAGGGTCCTGCCTGGCCAATGCCTAGGTATGTTTCTGCCTCCAACGGCATTGGCCAGGCTGGACCTGCCAAGGGCACAGTCCTGGGGATGCAAATACCACCTGGTTCCACCCTGATACCACCTGGTTCCACCCTGGTTTGCATCAGGAGGTGACTTGCTGTCTAAAAACAAACTGGGGACCCCCTTCACGTCCTCCCACTCCCCTACACTCCCATCTGTAGAGAAGCAGACTCTTAATCTCAGGGCTGGGGGTTCGAACCCCACATTGGACAAAAGATCACTGCATTGTAGGGGGTTGGACTAGATGCCCCTCCAGGGACCCTTCCAACGATTCCACGATTTGCCAGGGCCTGCAGAGAAGACAGTTGCTTCTCACTGAGCTTGAGTAAAGAGCTTCCCTTGCCGCCCCCAGTTTCTCTCTCTCTCTTGGTGGCTCAAGCACATGTGTGTGTGTTCCTCATCAGTGGTTGCCGTGGGAGGACTGCACAGCTGCAGGATGGGTGTCTAACTCCTCTCCACGCCCCCACCCCCAGACCACAGCAGACCACCAAGTTAAGGGCCATGGAGACAGTACACAGCTGCTCTTGATTTCAGCTGGTGCAGGGGAATGTGGGGGGGAGGTTGTGCAGTGTGGGCCCCCTGCCCTGTTTGTGACACAAAACTACATCTACACACACACACACACAAACCCCCAGGGAAGAGAAGATGCAAATCTGCTGCAGTTTCCCTTTGATGCACCAGATTTCTGCTGCCTTCCTCTCCTGCTTCTCCAACTCTCACCTACTTTCTTTAATTAGCTAGCAGGAGATTCCTCTCCCCACCCCCATAGCAGGAAGAAGTTGGAGCCCCCAGATGCATATAGAATCACATACACACTCAGTTGCTGAACCCTGTGATCTACTTAGAAGGCACCATCTTCACAACATGTATAGATTAGAAACTAGGAATTCGGATGAGTCTGTGGCCCTGGGCTTACTTGGAAGTCTATCAAAACACCCAGCAGAGGACAGATGCCACGGGGGCTAAGTCACTGCCCCTTGCCCAAAATTCCCCCAAAAGCAAAATTATGTTCTGATGCCACCACCGTCCAGGTGTGTTATTTCTGTTTTATTTATTGTGTTTATATTCCACCTTTTTCTCCAAGGAGCTCAAGGTGGTTCGCGTGGTTCTTATCCTTCCTCGTTTAATCCCCTGTGGTGTAGGTCAGGCTGGGAGGCAGTGACTGGCCCCTTCCTAGCCCACGAGAGGAGATTTGAACTGTGGTCTTTTCCAGGTCCAGGTCCAACACCCCTAGCCTACACTGCACAGGCTCATTAAAGATAAATTATTATTTGGAACGTCTGGTTTCATTGGGCCCAAACAAGCCCAAAGGCATCGGTGGCGGCGAGGCAGGATGTCCCCTCACTTTTTCTGCAGCTCAGACACCAGCTTCGAAAGCAAAAAACGAGGCCTTGCGGATCGCAGAATCATAGCTGGAAGGGACCACGAGGGTCATCTAGTCCAACCCCCTGCAATGCAGGAATCTTTTGCCCAATGTGGGGCTCGAACGCACAACCCTGAGATTAAGATGCTGTGCCAACTGCGCTGTTTAGAACATCCTGCTGGCAAAGTCAATGCAACAATGGATGTTTCATATTCCAACTCAAAGCCTTTGTCCATCTAGCCTAGTTCTGCTCTCTCTGACTGGCAGCTACTCTCCAGGGTCTCAGGCAGAGAAGGGGTGGGTGTGTGTCTTTTGCCGCTAAGAGCCTTTTAACTGGAGAACCTGAGGAAAGGTGCTCTGCTACTGAGCACTGGTGCACACTGACCAATGTGGCAGCCTTTTGTGGTCAGCAGCCCAACATGGCAGATTGGAGAGGCCGAAAGATGTGTGGAACAGTCTCAATTGTCCAAGAAAGGCCTAAATAGCGCAATAAAAGCCCAAGCTGCTGGATCAGGCCGGGGGGGTGGGGTGGACACTTAGCCCAGGATCCTGTTCTCACAGGAGCCAACCAGATGCCCACATGTAAAACCACCAAGCAGGACCTGAGCACAACGACAGCAACTCTTCCCACCTGCGATTCCCAGCAACCTTAATCCAGTGGTACACTGCCTGTGGCAGTGGAGACACAACGCAGCCATTGTGACTGGAAGCTGCCGCTCGCCCTGCCCTCCAGGAGTTGTTCTGAGCTTTGTACCTCTTATCAGTTGGCCGTGATGGAGGGGTCTGCTTGCTCAAAGTCCCTTGACCTTCTCCCGCTGGCTCCACACAGCGGTCACACAGAGGGATCCGGGATCTGTGTCGACACACGGCCGTCAAAGCACCAGGCTCCTCCATCTCCGGCAAGTTTACCCAGTTCAGCCTCTCTCTCTCCTGTCAGGGCAGTCTCAAGCACATCTCTCTCTCGAGCCCAAGAAGGGGAAGAGAAGGCCGTCACAAAACGGTTCGATGGCAGCGGGAAAAGCTATGCAAATTGAGCATAGGCCTCATGGGTTTTGACTAGTGTCTGGGTCTTGCAGCTGCCGCCCCACTGCTCAGGGAATGGGGCCTCCCCCAAAAAAGGCCTGGACAGGACACTGTGGCTCAGGGCCCATCCTGGGGTGGCCCTGAGGTCCGGTGGGGCAACACAGAAGTTGGGCAGTAGCAGAACAGCTTCTCCCTCTCTACGCCTCGTGCCCATCCACTGAAGCTGAAGGTTGGAAAAGTCAGGGCAGTTAAAAGGAAGTCCTTCCTCACGCAGCACAGTTAAACGGTGGAACTCACTGCTGCAGGAGGCAGGAATGGGCACCAACTTGGATGGCATTAAAAGAGAGGCATTAAAATTCATAGAGGAGGAGTATCGATGGGTATTAGCCACGACGGCTCATCAGAGGCAGCGATGCTTCTGAATGCTGGTGGTTGGAGGGGAGAGGGCTCTTGTGGTCAAATCCTGCTTTGGGGGCACCTGGGAGGCCACTGTGAGAACAGGGCCTGCTCCAGCAGGATCTTCTAAGGTTCTGGTGGTCTCCTGTATGCACTGCGTCACTTTGGGCTACAGCGGTCCATGAGACCTCTGGTTCTTTTCCCCGTGGACAAGGCTGGAGGCTTCTTCCCTTCAGCAGTGCCTTTGCCTTGCCACTGAGCACCTGAGGCAAAATGCCTGCCTGGGTTTCCATGGTGGCCGAGACAAAGAATGTCTGTATGTGGGAAGGGGGGAGGCTGCTCCTTCCCCCGGCCAAGGATATGCCTCAACTTGCAGATCAAACAGATCCCTTTGCGGCTTCTCTCTCTCTCTTGTCAGGTTGCTGGGTTAGCCGACAACAGGCGGTTAATTTGGTCAGTGGTCTCCGCCCAGGCTCTGCTGACCACATTTGAGCGTACAGAAGAACCTCTGTGCTGGGTCAGGTCAAAGGTCAGCCTGGGACAGCGCCCCGTCCGATGCCTTGGGGAGGCTCACAGTGGAGACAGAAGAGATGAAAACCCTCCTGCTGGATCAGGCCCATGTCCCCTCTAGTCCAGCCTCCTGTTCCCACAGGGGCCATCCAGACAGCCATTATGGGAGACCAGCAAGGAGGATGCAAGCGCAAGAGCAATTCTCCCCTCCTGTGGCTTCAAAAGCATCCCTGCCTCCGACTGCAGAGCCAGAGAGGAGCCATGGTGGCTAGTGGCCTCCCCTCCGCTGTGTTTGCCAGTCGTCTTTCAGAGCCGCCCAACTTGGCGACCATCACTGCCTCCTGTGGGAGAGAGTTCCAAAGTCTATGCGCCGTGTGAAGCACTTTCTCTTTCTTGTCCTGACTCTTCCCCTTTCAGCAACATGGGACGCCCATGAGTTTGAGTGTTACGAGAAAACTTCTATCTCTTCACTTTCTCCATTCCAGGCATCATTTTATAAACTTCTATCCTGTCGCCTCTTCCTCGCTTTTTCTCTCAACTGAAAAGTCCCGCATGTGTCCTCATAGGGGACTTGTTCCCCTCACCCCCCCCAGATAATTTGGGTTGCCCTTTCCTGAACTTTCCCAGCTCATCGCTATCCTTTCAAAGGTGAGGCAACCAGAGGCCCCTTGTCCCACCCACCACCTCCCAATCAGAGGCAAATGTGAATGCCACAGCCAGGGATAATAATAAATAATAATAATAATAATAATAATAATAATAATAAATTATTTATATCCCACCCTTCCCAGCCAAAGCTCAAAGCAGCTAACAACAGTAAAATAATACAGCATTCTAAAATCAATTCATTATATCAGTTCAAATCAAATTAATGGCAACCATTGGGCTAGAGTTCTGTGAAGATGTTGAAGGGTTTAATTGTGCAGAGGAGGAAAGAGTCTCAGAGCATGTACAGAGGAAGCCATTGCTAACTTGCAGAAGCCACTGCTATCTTCCAGAACGCGGCAGCTAGACTGGTGACTGGGAGCGGCTGCCGAGACCACATAACACCGGTCTTGAAAGACCTACATTGGCTCCCATGACGTTTCCGAGCACAATTCAAAGTGTTGGTGCTGATCTTTAAAGCCCTAAACGGCCTCGGTCCAGTATATCTGAAGGAGCGTATCCACCCTCATCGTTCAGCCCGGACACTGAGGTCCAGCGCCAAGGGCCTTCTGGCGGTTCCCTCCCTGCAAAAAGTGAGGTTACAGGGAACCAGACAGAGGGCCTTCTTGGTGGTGGCGCCCGCCCTGTGGAATGCCCTCCCACCAGATGTCAAGGAAATAAACAACTATCTGACTTTTAGAAGACAGCCCTGTTTAGGGAAGTTATTAATGTTTGATGTTTTATTGCTTTATTATTAATATTCTGTTGGGAGCTGCCCAGAGTGGCTGGGGAAACCCAGCCAGATGAGCAGGGTATAAATAATAAATAATAATAATAATAATAATAATAATAATTATTATAAGTCGGTTTGGGTCCAGGCAATGCCTGGATGGGCGGCCCAAGCTTAGTGGTAGTGCACCTGCCTTGCATGCCGAAGGTCCCAAGGTCAGCCCCTGACAGCATTTCTGGGTAGGACTGGGAAGGACTCCCTCTCTGACACCCTGGAGAACTGCTGCCAGTCAGTGTAGACAATACTGAGCTAGATGGACCCGTGGTCTCACTCCGCATAAGGCAGCATCCTCTGATCACCTGGGAACTACCTGCATGCCCCTGGGGTTCTGTGAGGTCTGGAGGGTGGCGGCAAAAAGGACAGGGCCTTTTCAGCGGTGGCTCCCTGCTTCTGGGGAAGAGGAGCAGTCACATACGCCACCTCGCGCTCCTTGGAGAAAAGGGGAGATACACATGTAATAAACCAACAAAATAAGAAGATTTCGAGACCCACAAGTTTGAGGTATTGTACCCACAATTTGTTTGTTTTTTTGAATTCATATACAAAACCATTAAAATTATGCAAAGATAAGAATAATCAGCAATGTGTGTTACAAATTGGAAAATTCTTTTAAAAATACTTCTCACTGTAAAAGCTTCCTATTCAAGAACTATGTACACAGAGGCAAAGATCAGTAAGAAAACTGCAAGCTGGAGAGCTTGAGTCCTAATATGAGGGCTTAAAATAGGGGAAAAACAAAACATCCCACTCTTTTAACACTCTTTTCTCAGGGTGCTTCTTGATTTCAAACATTTGTCTTTTGTTTGGAAGCTTGTTTAAGTTTCCCTCGGACTGATGGCTAAAACAATCCAAATGTGCTAATACGCTGACAGTTTGTGCTTGCTAATTAACTTGCATCCTCTCCCCTTTTGCTTGCTCAGCTATCTCGGCTCCCCCCCCCCATGGCTGTGCTACATCAAAGAGAACCTTTTTGGGACCCCCTTCCTGGCTCCAGCGGAAGAAAAGCCGCTTCCTTTTCATGTCAAGGAGACTGAACAGGGAATCAAAATGTCGCTGGCTTTTCAAGGGAACTAGCTGGAGCTGGAATGGAATGCTGGCAAATCACAGCACAAGGGACCCTCCAAAGGTCATCCAGTCCAACCCCCTGCAATTCCAAATCGTCCCAACGTTCTCCTCGAGGCCGGGCGTTTCCCAAAGGCCACTTTCTGCCCCCACAATTCACTCTGCTGCAAAGACAATGAGTTCTGAGCGGTTTCAAGGCTGGCAGGGGAGAAAAGGGAGAAAACTTCACAAGCAAGTTCATGGTCAAACACATCCTGTGATTGAGACACAACACCTGGCCAGGTGAGACAACAGATGTGGAACTTGTCTACAAAGATCCATTACAATTGGAACAGGAGCCCAGAGTTAGGAGGCGCTGCTTTTAAGGAGAGTCCTCAAGACGAGCTGAATGCCAGAGAAACGCAAAAACAGAAACATAAAAATCCTGCTCCTTGTCTGCTCCAGGGACTTGATCATACAGCATAAGAGTTTGAAGGGACCCAAGGGTCATCTAGTCCAGTGTGTCTTGGGTCTCCAGCTGTTTTCCGACTACAATTCCCATCATCCCTGACCATTAGTCTTGCTGGTTAGGGATGATGGGACTTGTAGTCCGAAAAAGAGCTGGCGACCCAAGGCTGGGTCTGATCCAGTCCAGCCCCCTGCGATGTAGCTATCACAGCTAAGGAACCCCTGAGAGATGGCCACCTGGCCTCATTGCCTTAAGCAGGGCCGTAGCTACGGTGTGGGAGCTGTTATGGAAAAATCTGGGTGCGAGGCTGCTCAGTCCCCCAGCTGGTCGGGCAGAGCCCGCGGGTCCCTGCGGAATAAAGGAAAGAGTCCAGCCACCAACCGGAGCAAATAGCTGTAGACCAAGGAATTGATTTTATATTATTTTTAAAGCTAGGTAACTTCCCTGAGCTGTCAAGTTGAAAGGATACATTCAGACATAATATCTGTAACATTTAACAACTTTAAAGATGTGCCCCCCCCCCGTAATTTCCGTAACACAGCAAAATATAAAAGTACTGTACAATAAAACGTCAAACATTAAAAACTTCCCTGGGGCAAGGGGCTGCAGTCAAATATTGCCAACCCCTCGTGCGAAAAGTGAGCTCGGCTGGCACGTGCTGGCAGGGGGCTGGTGGGAGTTTGTAGACCAAAACATTGGGAGGGTGCCAGGTTTCTGACAAAACGTTAGGTGGTGAAAACTGTTTGATCATGGAGTGGACACCCTTGGAAGTGGGCTTGCTTTGAGGTTGGATGGCCATCTGCCATGTATGATCTAGTTGAGATTCCTGTCTTGCAGGGGGTTGGACTAGAGGACCTTTGGGGGTCCCTCCCAACTTCGCAGTTCTAGGTTGGCAAAGGCTGCTCTGCCGGCCGAGCGACCAGGATTGCAGACATTTCGCCAGGACTCTAAGTATGCAAAGTCAGCGTGCTGAAGGCACGCATTCCTTTCCTTTCGTAAATTCAAGCAAACAGGTGTGCGGCTGAGCACGGGCAACACGGCTCTGTGTCAGCTCCAGGCACTGGAGACAGAAAATAGGCCAGCGAACCCTCTGAAAACACGCACAGCTGCAGAGTGACGCAAAGGTCAGCCTCTGCCCTCTCCCGGACCTCGCCCTTTGCACCCGCCCCTCTGCTGGTATCTGAAATAGTCTCACCCAGCACCCCCTGCTGAGCTTTATGTGGGGCCCAGGGCAGATCAACAGAAGAAATGTATTCCCCTCCATCGTCCACAGACTCCCTTGGAAGGTGGCAGACTCTCCTTCCTGGGGCGGTTTTAAACAGCCACCTGTCAGGGATTCGGTAGCTCTGTTCCTGCATTGCGGGGGGTTGGAATGGATGACACTTGGGGGTCCCTGGCACCTCTGCAATTCTATGGTAAAGGTAAAGGGAAAGTGGCCGACTCTGGGGTTGCGGCGCTCATCTCACTTTACTGGCCGAGGGAGCCGGCGTACAGCTTCTGGGTCATGTGGCCAGCATGACGAAGCCGCTTCTGGCGAACCAGAGCAGCGCACGGAAACGCCGTTTACCTTCCCGCCAGAGCGGTACCTATTTATCTACTTGCACTTTGAGGTGCTTTCGAACTGCTAGGTGGGCAGGAGCAGGGACCGAGCAACGGGAGCTCACCCTGTCATGGGGATTCGAACCGCCGACCTTCTGATCAGCAAGTCCTAGGCTCTGTGGTTTAACCCACAGCGCCACCCGCGTCCCATGATTCTATGACTCTCCCATTATTTGAGGATGGCTCTCCCACCCGCCGCTTCCATCTCCTGTTCTCCCAAGCTCCTTTCACCTTTGCTAAGAGGACGGGAGGCTCCAGGCCCCCCCTTGGGCAGAGCAAAGGCAGCAACATGAATCAGGGTCAGGCCTTGGAAAGCAGGAGACGAGGGGGAAAGGAGGGTGGGGAAGAGAGAGAGAGAGGCTTTCAGTGCCTCTGAAGAAGCCTGGCATTGACTCATTCCCCGAGAGCGCCTGGGGCTGTGACAAGCGGCGTTCAGCTCCCCCCCCCCAGCCACCTGGGCATGCAAGATCCCACGCAGCACAGCCTCTGAGTCAGCTCAAGAGGGAGAGCAGTAAAAATAAACCCAGGGCCCACTTCCTTGCCCCCCAGCCAAGTCACGCTGGAGAAGCATCACAGAGAGAGAGAGAGATGGCTCAGCTGCGTGCAGAGAAGGGGCACAGCTTCCCAGCATGCACTGCTCCCTCCTGGGGGGTGGCTGCCCAGTAACGCCTATGGAGCTGGATCCCTGTTTGGGGCAAGGACCTGGGGAGGAAGAGGGTGCCCGCCAGGTACCTGGGCCTGCAGGCAGGGGCTGAGTTCTCTCGGGCTGAGTTTGGCCAGGCGCTCTGCGTCGAAGGTCCAAAAGAGGCTGCCGTGTGGGCCAGAGGGGGAAAGGCCGGCCAGAGGGGTGTCTGCAAAAGGAGGGGGCGGCGGGGCCCTCTGGTTTCTCCTCAGTGAGGACTGGGTTCCTCTGCCGCAGCTGAAACACAAGAGACACAGAGGCCCAGAGTCAATCTTGAGGGTGCGGGGTGGGGTTATAGATTTGGTCCTCCCTCCTCCCTTTTAACATAAGAACATAGAGAGAGCCTGCTGGATCAGGCCCATGGCCCATCTAGTCCAGCATCCTCTTCTCCCAGGGAACTAACTACCAGGTGCCACTTCTGGGAAGTCCGCAAGCAGGAATTGAGCACAAGGGCAGCCCTCTCCCCTCCTGCGGTTTCCAGAAACTGGTATCTGAAAGCCTTGCTGCCTCCAGGCGTGATGAGACGATTATACGGTAATCTTTATTGTCATTGCCCCATACAGAACAACAAAATTTTTAAATACAATATACTCCCATAGGGACTCCTTACACTGCATTTAAAACCAAAATCGCCTTTGGGTAGAAACTGTTTCTCAGGTGGCTAGTCCTAGTCTTTATAACCCTGGACCATCTTCCAGAAGGCAGAAGCTGAAAGAGATCATTTCCGGGGTGTGCACTATCCTGCGCTATCTCTGCAGCTTTCTTATGGCACCTGGAAGCGTAGATTTGATCCAAGGTGGGAAGAGTGCACCCAATTATTCTCTCCGCAGTCTTTACAACCCTGGACAGCATTGTTTTTTCCCTGGCCGTGCAGCTCCCAAACCACACACAGAGACCATAAGTTAACACACTCTCCACAGTACAATGGTAAAATGCCATCAACAGGTCCTTTGAGAGATTGTTTTTCCGGAGGATTCTCAGATCCAGCCCAGCCCAGCCGCCAATAATTTGTCTGATCCTCTTTTAAAGCCGCTCCAGTCAGTGGCCGTCCCTGCCTCCTGTGGCAGGAAGTTCCACAGTTTAACCATGCAGACTTTCTTTGGTCTGCCCTGAATCTTCCAGCTTCATTGGACGCCTACGAGTGAGAGCTCATGTTACAAGAGAGGGAGAAAACCGTTTGCCCATCCACTTTCTCCATGTCGTGAGTAATTTTATTAACTCCTATCGTTTTGCCTCTCACTCGCCTTTTCTCTCAACTAAAAAGTCTGTAACGCTGCAGCCTTTCTTCACAGGGGAGTCTCTCTCTCCCTCCCCTGGATCCTTTCGGTTGCCTTTTCTGGGTCCTTTTCCAACTTTCCGAAGTGAGGCACATCACTCGCATCCGAGGCGTCGGAAATTAGCCTGGCACGAGCCTTGGGGGGGAATCAAAGACAGAGGGGCTTTGTCCCTGGAACTGGGGCTAAAGGGTTCTTTGTGGAATGGGGGGTTTGCTTTCTCTCTCTCTCCCCTTCCCCCCGCCTGGCCTTCCTTTTCACTCCCGGCCATCTTCACCCCCCTTGCAAGCAACATCCGAGTTACTGGGCAGGCTTCCCAGCCTTCTCACTGCCCCTCCATTCATGGACCACTGGCTTCTTGGCTATATGAGGTGCCAGCACCTTTCGCAGCCGAGAGAGAATGTAAGAACATCGGCACCTGCAGGATCAGGCCAAAGGCAGGGGTGTAGGAAGGGGGGTGCAGTGGGGGCGGATCTCCCCAGGTGCCCTCACCAAGGGGGGGTGACATTTGGCACACCACCCACCCGTGACTCCCAAGCCTACCCCAAGCCGTCGGGGTAAGGCAGGGAGCTGCACTGCTGGCGGCATTCCCCCCTTCCCCTTTCGTTGGAGGCTTGGGAGTCACGGGCAGGGGGCGCACCAAATGGGCAGCTCACTACGCCCCCCTGAGCGTCTTGCTCCGCCCCCAGCTGCAGGGTACGCATGCCGCTTTGAGCACGCCCACCCCTACTCTGCCGCTGGCCAAAGGGAGCCCGTTTAGTCCAGCCTCCTGTTCCCCCCGGGGCCAGCCGGATGCCCCGAAGGGAAACACGCAAGCAAGATTCGAGCACAAGAGCCACACTTCCCCCTCCCGTGGTTTCCATCATCAAGGATTCAGAAGCACCGCTGCCTCTGATGGTGGAAGTTGCTGGTAGCCACTGAAAGCCTTATCCTCCATGAATTATAACCACAAAAGAGCCTGCTGGATTAGGCCAAAGGGGAGCCACATAGTCATAGCACCACAGAATGATAGAATTGTGGAGTTGGAAGGGACCCCCAAGGTTCATGTAGTCCAACCCCCTGCAATGCAGGAATCTCAATGAAAGCATCCAAGACAGATGGCCGTCCAACGGAAGTCCAGCTTCCTGTTTCCCCAGTGGCCAACCAGAATCCTGTGGGAAACCAGGAGCAGGATCTGAGCACAAGAGTGCTTCTCCCTCCTGCAGTTTCCAGCCACCGGTATTCAGAAGCAGCATGGCAGAGTGGAGCCTCTCTCAAGGCTGGAGGCCACTGAGAGGCCCATCAGGATCTTCCTAGAAAGCCTTCCTTGCCAGAGAGGGTGTGGGCCAGGGCGCTCCGCTGAGCCCCTTCTGAATCTCCTTCCTCCTCCGCTCACCAGCCCCACTGCCAGCTGGCTCCACGTGGGCAGGACTGTGGCAGGTACCAGAGGAGGGAGGGACGTGGGCCGTGCCTCTGACTCAGCTCTCCAGCTGGCAGCAAGCGAAGCTGCAGCAAGGACGCGTGAGGACCTCGCGGGTACCCACCTCCCGGGCCTAAATGTACCCTTGCCCAGAAGCCCCACACGAGGGGCACTGGAAGAGTCAGACGCAAACAGGGATGAGAGCAGAGACGGCTTGTGCTCGCTTATTCCTTGCTGGCCCTGAAGGGAAATATACCCAGCAAATACAAATGAGCCGTAACCGATTGTGTTTTTATCCCTGTTTGCAAGGTGTTTGCTTTGTGTTGAAATGAGCAGTCACATTCACACCATGCACTGGAAGGGCTACGATGCGGCTTTAGACAGTCGCGGCTTTCCCCAAAGGATGCTGGGAAGTGTAGTCTGTTCTCAGAGCAGAGAATCATTAGGAGACTCCCCGAAACCCACCCCGTTCCCCTCCCTGAGCTACAATTCCCAGAGTGGTTTTAATAACCAATTCCTCTTTCCCAGGGAACTCTGGGAATCCTAACAACTCAGTACCGTCAACTGACTACAGCTCCCAGAATTCTTTGGGGGGGGTAGTCACGACTGCCTAAAGTGGCATCATAATGCTTCAACTGTATGGCCCGAACATGGCCCTAGTGGTTAAGGGTGTCGGACCAGGACTGGGGAGATCCGGGTTCAAATCTCTGCTCTGCTGTGACGTTCACTGACATTCAAGAAGCTTCAAGCTTTACCTTGGCTGAAACTGAGACCGAGAGCTGTTTGGGGACTCCAGAGCTACAATTCCCAGAGCGGTTTAACAGTCAATAGCTATGGGGTCTCCTAATATTATGGGGTCTCCTAATACTCCTCAGCGTCCTTAACATACAGCAATTCTCAGGATTCTTTTGGGGAAGCCACGGCTGCTGAAAGTGCTGTGGATGTGGCCAAAGTAACGGCAACGGAACTTACAGAACTTTCCTGCAGTGGGACAAACAATGGCGCTTTTGGTGGAAGGCGGACTGCAGCGGAACGGAGCAGCGTCGCACCTTGTGAATGCCGTGCAAATGGAAAAGGACACTTTCTTCCACCTGTGCACCCCCCAAAGGCACACTTACGTCTCACGGCCAGCAGGGTGCTTCCGTGGCAGCAGGAGACGGAGGCCACGAGGCTGGCGTGAGTCTCTCCCAGCTGCACGGGACGAGGACTCCGGGGCTCTTCATCCTTCCGTCCCAGGCGCCCCCTGGCGCTTTTCCCCCAGGTGTACACCTCGCCATCTGGGGAGAGAGGATGTCCGCAGCAGGTTAGGGTGACAGGGAGGCCAGGCCAGACCCCCTCGGGGCCCACTGCACTGGAAACCAAGCCCCAAACCCCACTCCACCCAATCAGCTCACCTGCTCCCACAACGGTGGTGAAGGCGTCGCCACAGCCCACCATGGTGACTCGGACAGCTTGGAGCCCCTCCACCAGGTAGGGGGTGCGGCTGGCACGGCAAGGGATGGGGCCCAGCTGTCCGTGTTGATTGCTGCCCACAGTGTAGCACTGGCCCGTGGCTGGCAACAGAAAAGGCAGAAGGGCAGGGAATAGCGCGACTCCTTCCTGCTCCTGGGCGATTTCCGAGCCTTCACCCCGACTTTGCCCGGCGGGCTGCAATTTCTCCAGGGCGAATGGAAGACTCTGCACATGCTCAGAGGCACCCTGGAAGAACCTCCAGCCAACGCGCCCCACCAGAATGCCGGTATCGTTCCGGCTGGCTGCTGCCACCCCCCAAAGCGAGGTGTCTTCACCGGATGCTCACCAGTGACGACTGCTGAGTGAGCCGTTCCAATGTCAGCCCACACAATGGCCTCTTCGCTCAAGGGGGCTGAGCAGGCGCAGCTGAAGACAAGGGCTTCCTCCACCTGGTCAGTGGCGAGGGGCTCCCCCTGGGGCAAGATCCTGTCCAGGCCTAGTTTGTTATACCTGGAGGAGAGGGGGGAGGGGAGAGGAGGTCAAGGGAGGGCCAAGCTGCAGAACCACCCTCTGTTTGCAAAACTCTGCCTCCTCTGGATTTGGGAGACTCTGGCCTAGCAAAACACAGGATCCAACCAGACTTTCCTTGCCCCAATCCAGATTCGGCTCTTGCCCAGGAAGGAACAGGAGTGAGCCGTGTCAGGCCCTGGATATGAAGTCTCTGGTTTGGCCCTGCCTGCTGGCCTGGCTTCCCACTCTGGCCAGGTCAGCAGAATCGGACCTTTTGCTTTATGGCATTTCTGTTTCACTACCCTCCCTCCCCAATACTCCTGTGACCCCCTCCACCACGACACAGTCTCCCTGCCCTACCTGTTGCTCCCACAGGCCAGGACCTGGTTCCTCCCTGTCAGAATCATGGAGGCGTCGATGCCGCAGAGAACCTTCTGCGCCTCGTGGTCAGGTGGGATGGAGACCTGCTGCGGGGAGTTGTGGGACTCCTGGGTGCCCAGCCCCAAGCGCCCTGGGGAGAGAGGGAAGGGGTGGGAGGTGATAATAATAATAATAATAATAATAATAATAATAATAATAATAATTTATTATTTATACCCCGCCCATCTGGCTGAGTTTCCCCACTATGGGCGGCTTCCAATCGAGTGTTAAAAACAATACAGCATCAAATATTAAAAACTTCCCTAAACAGGGCTGCCTTCAGATGTCTTTTAAAGAGAAGATAGCTGCTTATTTCCTTCACATCTGAAGGGAGGACATTCCACAGGGTGGGTGCCACCACCGAGAAGGCCCTCTGCCTGATTCCCTGTAACTTGGCTTTTCACAGAGAGGGAACCGCCAGAAGGCCCTCGGTGCTGGACTTCAGTGTCCGGGCAGAACGATGGGGATGGAGACGCTCCTTCAGGTCTACTGGACTGAGGCCATTTAGGGCTTTCAAGGTCAGCACCAACACTTTGAATTGTGCTCGGAAACGTACTGGGAGCCAATGCAGATCTCTCAGGATGAAAGGGAGCCAAGAGAACAGGCAGCCCCACCAACCCAGTGCACCGCCGCCACTCACCATTGTCCCCTCTGCCCCACGCGAAGATCTCCCCTTCGTTGGAAACAGCCAGGACGTGCGATGCCCCACAGGCCACATGCGTGATCTCGTAGCCCAGCAGGGCCTCCACGATCTTGGGCTGCGGAGGGGGACGGCAGCAACTGTTCAAGCAGTCTCCCCCCACAAGATCCCCCTCTCTCTCCCCACCCACCCAGCCCCTTTCATCCTGTCCCACAACTGCGCAAGCCGCCCCCACCCACATCCCCAGTTGGCGGACCTGCAGCCAAATTTGCCGGGGAAGGATTGCCGCCTCCCAGACAGGAAACCCTTGTACGCCAGACAATAAAACCATCAGTTCAACATGTTTCTATCCTGCCTTCATTCTGTCCTTAAAACTATGGAATGGCACACTAAGGAACTTGCTCCCGTGGGAGGCAGGCATGACCACAAAATAGGATGGGTTTAAAATTCACAGGTTTGGGGAAAATTCATGGAGGAGACGGATAATGATGGCTAGTTGCCAAGAGGGCTGTGCTCTGTCCTAAGAAGACCCGGCTGGATCAGGCCAGGGGTCAGTCCAGCATTCTCTTCTTCTTCTTCTTTAAATACTTTTATTTTGCTTTAAACAAATACAGATAAATATAAACAACCAAAATTACAAAAGAAAAATCCTTAATCATAATAATAATAATGAAAAAAGCTAAAAAAACTACAAAAAATTTCAAAGTTCATGGTATAGAACATAAGCCATTATGGGAAAGAAAACAGAAAAAAGAAAAAGGAAAGGAGGAGGAGGAGGAGGAAAATAAAAAAGAAGAAAAAGAAGAAAAAGAGGAAGATGAGCCAAAACACAGGAAGACTCATCTATTGTACGCTTCCGTCAAGGTCACAACAGATCATTATTCTTATCAATTCTCTCTATCTGCGTTCCATAGAATCCCTCATCTTGGTATCAGGGAACATTTCCCTATGCGGTATCATTCTAAACATAACCAGGTATTTCTTGATGAACCCTTATCAAGAACCCATTTTCTTCTCACAGCCTGCAGGAAACCAGCAAGCAGGATGGGAGCACAAGAACAACTCTCCCTTTCCAGGGTGTCCAGCAACTGGCATTCAGAAGCATAATAATAATAATAATAATAATAATAATATTTATACCCCGCCTTCCCCAGCCAAGACCGGGCTCAGGGCGGCTAACACCAGGTATAAAAACAATTGATTAAAATACAACTTAAAAACAAGATTAAAGTACAACATTAGAATGCAGCCTCATTTTCAGTAGAAACTCAAATCAAAAACTTTTTGGGGATGAAAAACGTCAAATCTTCACCAAGGCCAACTATCCAGACTGGTCCTACATGGGCCAGAAAAAAGCCAGGGAAGTCCCCAAATAGGAGTTCCATCACAGAAGGAGAAAGGAAAAAGGAAAGAGGGGAAGGGGATCAAGTTGATTCCAAGCCAAAGGCCAGGTGGAACAACACAGAACAGCCATTGTGTTGAGTAGCCATCAACAGCCCTCTCCTCCACCCTTGGCGGGCACCCCTGCCACCTGTGGGAGTTTCGAAGTTTAACTATGCACCACGTAAAGGACTTTCTTCTATCTGCCTTCAACCTTCCAGCGTTCAGTTTCCCTGGATGTCTCCAAGGTTGGTGGCAATAGATGCTTCTGAGTACCAGTTGCTGGAAACCCCTGGAGGGGAGAAGGCTGCCCTTGTGGCCATGCCTTGCTTGTGGGCTCCCCTTTGGGGGCATGTGGCTGGGCACTGTGAGAACAGGAGGCTGGACTAGATGAGTCCCCTGCGGCCAGACCCAGCAGCCAGACCCAGCTCCTGTTCTTGTGATCAGGGTACAACAGCAGCCACAGGGAGGAATTCTGGCCTGCAGGGAATCTGGGGAAAGTGGCCAAACCAGCCCACCAGCCGAACGATGCTCAGAAATTGAGCCCTGGCCAACCTGGGTGACGTCTGTGAAGGTCTCGTGCCCCAGGCACCCACTGCTGCCGCTGCCAAAGGTCAGGACGATCCCTCGGTCTGCAGGGGGAAAGGAGAGCTGTCAGCACAGTCTGGAGAAGAGGTTGCCAAAGGAAGGAAGGAAGGAAGGAAAAGCTAAGCACCCCCACCTCCTCATGATCAAGGGGACAGTGAGTATGTATGCATAAACCCCCAAACAGAAATAATGGTGGGGCCAGATCCCTGTGCAACCATCCCTTACACAACTGCTGCCCTCCATTGACAAGCAGGAAAATAATAATAATAATAATAATAATAATAATAATAATAATAAAATTTATTTATACCCCACCCTCCCCGGCCAGAGCCGGGCTCAGGACGACTAACAGCAATAAAATTTCAGTAAAAACATAATAAGAAAAAAGAAAAAGAAAAAGAACAATTTAAAATACAGGTTAAAATGCAATTTAAAATGAAGCCTCATTTTAAAAGTCAAAACCATAAAGGTGAGGGAAACATGAGGGTCAGACTGAATCCAAACCAAAGGCCAGGCGGAACAGCTCTGTCTTGCAGGCCCTGCAGAAAGATGTAAAGTCCCGCAGGACCTTAGTCTCTTGTCACAGAGCATTCCACCAGATCGGGGCCACAGCTGAAAAGGCCCTGGCCCTAGTTGAGATCAATCTAACCACCTTGTGACTTGGGACCTCCAAAATGTTGTCATTTGTGGACTTTCAGGTCCTCCACGGATCATACCAGGAGAGGCAGTCCCCTTAGCTTGTTTTTGTTGTACCTGTCAGGCAGGTGGTGAAAAGGTCCCCGCAGGCCACGAGCTTGATGGTCACCCCGGACTGGCCCTCCAGGAAGCGGCAGACAAACTGGGGCTGCAGCTGCTCAGTGGCCCCGGGGAGCGAGGGCCCCCCCGCCGTGCCAAGTGGGGGCGGCTGGTGGAGAGAGAGAGAAAAAACAGCGGGAAGAGGGCATGTTACATTCCTGCCGGGTCAGTCGGAGCAAACTGGGCCTAGTTTGAATGGCGGCTGGTGGCAACAGGGTCAGGGCTCAGCGATGCAGCATCCAAAGCAAGCAGAGATGCTTGAGCATGTGCAGAACGCACTGAAGTGTCCTGGCTGCCAAAACCTGCCCTTGGGGGGGGAACATCTGGGGCTTACAGCAAGAGAATACAGGCCAGGAGACATTGCCACCAGGCATGTGTGAACCCCAGGGGCCTAGCATGAATTCTATTTATGCAACCTTAACTGGCTAGAGGGACGTGGGTGGTGCTGTGGGTTAAACCACAGAGCCTAGGACTTGCCAATCAGAAGGTCGGTGGTTTGAATCCCCGCGATGGGGTGAGCTCCCGTTGCTCGGTCCCTGCTCCTGCCAACCTAGCAGTTCGAAAGCGCCTCAAAGTGCAAGTAGATAAATAGGTACCACTCTGGCGGGAAGGTAAACGGCGTTTCCATGTGCTGCTCTGGCTCACCAGAAGCGGCATAGTCATGCTGGCCACATGACCTGGAAGCTGTACGCCGGCTCCCTCGGCCAATAAAGCGAGATGAGCGCAGCAACCCCAGAGTCGGCCACGACTGGACCTAATGGTCAGGGGTCCCTTTACCTTTAACTGGCTAGATTTCAACCACACAAGGTTGACATTGCTCAGGTTAACTGTGCATAAGATGTGATCGTACTGTACAACGAAACACAGGGCCCAGGAGTTTCAAGCAGAAGGACAAGCTGGTCTAATGTAAGGCATATTTAGAGATTCTCAGTCAGCCTCCTTCCTCCTTTCAATAATCCCCAGAGCTGGGAGACAGATAGCGAGGGGCTCCTCACCCACCCACGAACCTGTGGGACCCCTCCTCGCCCTCTCACCTCCCACAGGATCAGCCGCCCAGATTTGGTCACACCCGCCTTCTGGGTCCTTCCGGTGGAGACCTGCACCACTTCGGTGTTCAGCATGGGCAGGCGCAGAGGGAGGGTGATCCCACCCCCCCAGGTGTAGACGGAAGATGGGGCGGGCGGGATGCCTGGCCTCGCCGAGCCGGCTCTGGAGCCTGGGTCCAAGAGAAAAGCCCTGTGAGTTAGTGGACCTGGGGGGCGGGGGAAGTGGGGAACCCCCAGACTCAGGAAAGGGGAGGTTGGTGGTGTGGAAGGCCATTGTTATCCGGTTGGCCATTGTGAGAAGAAGATACTGGACTGGGTGGGCCATTGGCCTGATCCATCAGGACAGAAAATAACAGCAGATAATAATAATAATAATAATAATAATAATAATAATAATAATAATAATTTATTTATATCCCGTCCTCCCCAGGCTCAGAGCGGCTAACAACAATAAAATTAACACAGCATTTTAAAATCAATTAAAAGATAACTTTCGATATGGGAAGGATGCATTGACCATACATGCCCTTGTCAGCTGTGGTGCCCCAAACTGAAGCCTTCACACACACCCCACCCCAGTCGTGCCCTCTGGGCCACTGGGGAAGGGCCCCAGGCAATGCCCCCCCCCAAATAAAGGGTGTGCAGCCCTCTTCCAAAGGCCTCCCACCTTACCTCTGGCTCTAGGGCCGACGGCTCCTGCTCCCACCCTGCCGTGGGTCACTGGTGGCACAGCGGCCAGCGGCTTCTCGGGCCTGGGTGGGGGGAGAAAGAGGGTGAGCTTCTCTCAGACAGTGGTGGCAGGGAAGGGCTGCAGCTCAGAGGAAGAGGATCTGCTTGGCATGCAGAAGGCCCCAGGTCTAAGGCCCAGTGGTAGCATCTCCGGGTAAGACCTGGGAAGATTCCTGTCTTGAAACCTTGGAGAACTGCCACTCAGTGCAGACAGTACTGAGCTAGACAGGGCAATGGGCTGACTTAGCCTAAGGCAGCCTCCTATGTTCCTATTTCTAAAAGGAAAACGGAAGGGACTTCTGTTGAAGGATGTTGATAAGAGCTAGAAGGTGTGCTGAGGAGGGCGACCAGGATGATCAAGGGTCTGGAAACAGAGTCTTAAGAGGAACGGGTGAGGGAGTTGGGGATGTTTAGCCTGGAAAAGAGAAGACACTGAGAGCCATATTCAAATATCTAAAGGGCTGTCAAATGGAGGAGGGAGCAAGCTTCTTTTCTCCTTCTCTAGAGCAGGCATAGGCAAACTCCGGCCCTCCAGATGTTTGGGACTATAATTCCCATCATCCCTGACCATGGGTCCTGTTAGTTAGGGATGATGGGAGTTGTAGTCCCAAACATCTGGAGGGCTGGAATTTGCCAATGCCTGCTCTAGAGGGTAGGACTTGAACCAAGAGGAGTTTTTAAGCAGAGGTTGGATGACCACCTGCAACTGATGCTTTAGCTGAGATTCCTGCATTGCAGGGGGTTGGACTAGAGGACGCTTGGGGTTCCCTTCCAACTCTACGATATTATGATTCCATGGTTCTTCATGCAGTGCATGGCTAAAGGACGGAACTCCCTCCTGCAGGGATGGCCACCAATTTGGATGCCTTAAAAGAGGACAAATTCATAGAGCGGAAGGCTATCAATGGGCACCAGCCATGATGGCTGTGAAGCAGCCATGCTTCTGAATCCCAGATGCTGGAAACCACAGGAGGGGAGAGGGCGCTTGCGCTCATGTCCTGCTTGTGGCCTTCTCATTAGGGCATCTGCTTGAGAACAGGATGCTGGGCCAGATGGACCACTGGCCTGATCCAGCAGGCTCTTATGCTCTTTGTCTGGAACCATGAGGACTAGAATCTTACTTTACAGCTCTACAGCAAAGGACCTTCTTTCAAAGCCCTGGGCTTGATCCTCGGTGGCATCTCCCGGTAAGGATAGATCAGTTGGTATAGCATGAGACTCAGTCTCGGGGTTTTGGGCAAAAGGATTCCTGCATAGATGACCCTCGCGGTCCCTTCCAATGCTACAATTCTATAATCCTATGACTAGGAACATCCCCTGCCTGGGAGCCCAGGGAGTCGCTGCTGCCAGCCAGTGCAAGCCCTACTGAGCTAAGTGGGCCCATGAGCTGAGTGTTCCTGGAGGAGGGGGCGTCAGTGCCACCACATGGGCCCAGTACTTGCCTCCTCATCCTGACACTGCCGACGTCGGTGTAGAGGTTCAGGAGGGGCCGGGCGCAGATGGCCTCCGCCATGATCTCGTTGAGCTGGGGCCGCTTGGAGGGGTCCAGGTTGAGCAGGCTGAGGATCAGCTGGCGTAGTTCGGGGCTGTAGCGGTCCGAGATGGGGGCGAAAGTCCCACTCATGATCTTCAGGACCAAGGCGGGCAGGTTCTGTGTGCGAATGATGGTGGGACAGTTAGGAGAGAAGGCATGGAACGCCGCCTTGCCATACAGTAATAGGCAAGGAGTGGCCAGGGCCAACCCAGCAAGGCAGGGCACATAAAGGAGACGCTCTTTAGCTTGAGAAAAAGGAAGGAAGGAAGATGGTGAGGGGACGTTTGCGAAATCGTTGACTAGACCAGTGGTTCTCAAAGTGGGTGATACTGCTCCCAGGGGAGGGAGATTCCCTGGGGGAACCCTAAGAGGCAAGGGGGGCACTGGAGGCGGGACCCTCAAGGCAGGCTGATCACTTATTTACGATTGACCAGGCTGGAGCCTAGAGCAAAACACCTTCCTTGCTTTGTATTCAAAGGTTTACTGCTTTTATCACTCTCAAAGCTATTTCTTTGGGTCACGTCTGTTTGCCACAAGTCACAAGATAGCCAATTATTGGTAACATATATTGATTTTCTTAATAAACTACTTATAGCACATCTGTGATAGGTGAAGGTTTGTGTGTAACTTATATATTAAAAATTTTATGCTATAAACCTCCTTCATCCTTATGGTTTTGTCAGTAAGAATGAGCCCTATTTTTCCATGCAGTATCTGGTATCAACGGATCAAGTTTATCAGTTCCGAAACGAAATAATTATAATTGGATTTTGAATAAACATGCAATTAATTGTTACCGTTTTGAATGTTCTTGCAATATCTTCCTCATACCGCAAACCAGTATTCTGAACAATCCTTTTTTATAGGGTAGGGTGGGGTGCACTGGGGAATAATTTAGGGAACCATGGGGGCAGTGGCCCCAAAATGCTTGGGAACCACAGGACTAAACTGAGGGCCGGTTTATCTGACCTGGCCGTCAAGCAGTCTTCTGGCCAGGGGACCAGCTTCCTAGAGGCATGAAGCTGTCCCCTCTCGGAGACTGGATGCTGGTCCACTGCACAGACCACGACACAATCGTTAACGGGACTGAGGCTGAGCAGACAGGGCGTTCAGGACACAGAGACTGGCCAGCCCTCCACTCCAACCAGATTTCGAAGGTGTCTCCTTACCGCGGCCTCAAAAGCCCTCTTCAGGCTGGCCAGCTCGTAGAGCACACAGCCCAGAGCCCAGATGTCACTCTTCTGGTTGTAAGGCTTGCCCTCGCAGAGCTCCGGGGAGATGTAGCAGGGGGTACCCACCACCTAGGAAGCAACACGGATGTGCGAATGAGGCCCAGAGCAAAGGTGGAGGGGTGGGTATTACTTTCTCTTTTTTCTTGAATAATGTTATTAACGTTCTAATAAAAAGGAAAATCTTCTCAAAAGTCGGGGGTCGTCTTATATGCCAGCTGCAGCAGCAATTCCTGCAGCAACTACCCACCAAAGGATAAAACAACAGCAAATTAAATCAGAGGACACCAAGCTCTCTAGATGAAGCAGAAATACGCTTGAAAATTGGTCCCAGAAGCTTGAAAATTGGCCCCAGAAGCTCCCGGCCACTTGGAAGTGGAGTGGATTTCCGAGCTAGACTGGAGACTGATTTTTTAAATTTTTATTTGGTGTGCGTTGGAAGAGGGGTAGTTTTATACAGCGAGTATATCCCAAACTCTATATTTTAACTGGAAAAGTTGGGGGGTTTTCTTATACGCCCAGTTGTCTTATACCCCGGAAAATACGGTATATATCAAATATCCTTGTTTCCCAAGAAGAAAATGAATAAATTAAATAGAAACAGGAAAAAAAGAAAATGACATGTGTGACGGGAATCCTATAACCAAAAATCTGATAGTGCTGAGAATAAATTAAAAAGATATAATCATTTACAGGGTCATTCCAGAAATGTAAGAATAGGGCCCACTTTTCAATACGTATTTGTTCTCTTGATTATTTTTCTGATGTGTGAGTTTTATCCTTAAAATAAACTTTATCATTAAGTTTTCCTTAACTAATACGTTACGGCAGGAGGATTGTATTTTTCCATTTCTGTGCAATACTCTTTCTTTCGGTGGGGGGGCAAAAAGCCCCTCTATCCAGAGACAGGATCAGTTTCTCCCACCCCAAGATCCATATCCACATTCAGGATGCTCAGAGTGTGAGATGACAGCAGGTCTCCCAGCTCAGAGAGATCCTGGTGGCTCAAGCTAACTTTAGGTAAAGGTAAAGGGACCCCTGACCATTAGGTCCAGTCGTGACCGACTCTGGGGCTGCGGCGCTCATCTCGCTTTATTGGCCAAGGGAGCCGGTGTACAGCTTCCGGGTCATGTGGCCAGCAAGACTAAGCTGCTTTTGGAGCAGTACCTATTTATCTACTTGTACTTTTGAGGTGCTTTTGAACTGCTAGGTTGGCAGGAGCAGGGACCGAGCAACGGGAGCTCAACCCGTCATTGTGGGGATTCAAACCGCTGACCTTCTGATCGGCAAGTCCTAGGCTCTGTGGTTTAACCCACAGCGCCACCCGCGTCCCCAAGCTAACTTTGGGCTAGTTTATATTCATGTACAGTGGTACCTCGGGTTACATACACTTCAGGTTACATATGCTTCAGGTTACAGACTCCGCTAACCTAGAAATAGTGCTTCAGGTTAAGAACTTTGCTTCAGGATAAGAACAGAAATTGGGCTCCAGCGGCAGCAGGAGGCCCCATTAGCTAAAGTGGTGCTTCAGGTTAAGAACAGTTTCAGGTTAAGTACGGACCTCCGGAACAAATTAAGTACTTAACTCGAGGTACCACTGTATTTATTAAAAGGTCTGTTCCCAAAAGATCCCAGGTTGGGCAAATGACAAAACAGCAAATAAACAAATCCACACACACCCCAATAAGATATAATAAAAGCTTATCTAAAAGAATTTATAAACAATCAAATATCCTCACAGCTAATAATTTCAAGGCTGCTAGGAAAGTCTCTTTCACCCATTCGGTGCCTGTGAGAATGTTTGTTCTTTAAAATTCCTCCTGGACCATGCAGTGACGGGTGAGTAAGAAACCAAAGAAATTAACCCAAAAATAATACCAAATGGCCTCATGAGGGAGAGCATTCCACAAACAGGGACCCACCGCTAAGAAGGCCCTGTCATGGTGCAGTAGCACATTGGCTGCCCTGTGACTGACGCCAAACCTGGCCAGTCCAGAGGCTTCAAATTACCGGCCAATCGCAGGGGGAGGGATGTGGACACCAGGAGTTGCTATCAGTTGTTCTCACCGTGTAAGCTTTGCTCTTGCTACTGAGGATCTTGGAGATGCCAAAGTCCCCAATCTTGACAATCATGTGGTGCTTGTCCAGGAGGATGTTCTGAGTCTTGAGGTCCCGGTGGAGGATCTGCTTGGCGTGGACGTGGTGGAGGGCCAGGAGGATCTGGACAAAGAAGTGGAGGATGGTCTCCTCGTCCAGGAGGGAGTTGCCCCTCTTGTGGATGAACTCAGCCAGCGTCCCACCTGGAAGGGAGCAAGCAGAGAGAGGCCAGCATAATACCTGGGGCATGGTGGGATTAGCGAGGGGGCTGCTAAGAGCCAAGGGGGTGGCAGGTGGGCACTGGAAGTGAAAACGACTACCAGACTTTCTTTGAAAAGCTGGTATCATTGAATCAAGTTCATCCATTTTGTTGAATTAAACTGAATAGTTCATATATACAGTGGTACCTCGGGTTAAGTACTTAATTCGTTCCAGAGGTCCGTACTTAACCTGAAACTGTTCTTAACCTGAAGCACCACTTTAGCTAATGGGGCCTCCTGCTGCCGCTGCGCCACCAGAGCACGATTTCTGTTCTCATCCTGAAGCAAAGTTCTTAACCCGAAGTACTATTTCTGGGTTAGCGGAGTCTGTAACCTGAAGCGTATGTAACCTGAGGTACCACTATAGTTTTAATTGGATTTTGAATAAACGTGCAATTAATTGTTACGGTTTTGAACTTGACTGTGTTATCAACTTCCTTACAGGGCTGTTATGTACTGAGTTGAATAGGATCCAAAATGCAGCAGTCTGATTGGTCCTAGAACAATAGGATCCAGAATGCAGCAGTCTGATTGGTCCTAGAACAATAGGATCTAGAATGCAGCAGTCTGACTGGTCCACAGGAGCCACCCAATCCAACTCCGGGTAGAAGTGAATCCGCAACCTGATTGGCCTACAGGAGAATCCCAGAATTAGCCAGTCACGTGGGGCCCATTGTGTAAATAATGTATATAAAGGAGACATTTCGGAGGAACTTCCATTCCTCACTACTCTGAGCTGAATAAAGAGCATGAAATCCACACTCGACTCCGAGTAAATTTCAAGGGCCAAGCAAACTGCTATTGTGAATCATGTTTTTATTGGGGTAGGGGGCACTGGGGATGCATTTATGGAACCTAGGAGGCATGGTCCCCAAAGCTTTGGGGCCTACTGGTCTAAACTGCTTTTGATACTGCATTTTAAATTGTTGTGATTTTAGATTTTAAACTCTTATCATAGAATTGTGGAGTTGAAAGGGACACACAGGGTCATCTAGTGCATCTCCCTGCAATGCACCATATTTTGAAGGGCTAGTGATAAATTGAATAATAACAGAAATAACAGAAAGCCACCTCCCTAGGAAAACTACAGCACTTTCTCCTCTGAATGGGAGCAGAGCTACAGTTGTCCCTAGACGGGTTAAACCCTGCGCTCCTTGACAAGGGTGGAACCACAAGGAAGAAAGCCATTTTTTCTCCAAGGGCAGAGCGAGATGAACCTGTTCCTTCTGCCTCAAAGATATGGGGTTCTGTGGATCCTCCTAGTCCAGGAAGCACACCCCTGCTCCCCTCCCCTTGCGGAAAACACACATGCCAAACAAACCCGGTGCTCTTTTGTTTCCAAACCACAAACCCAAAGCCAAATCTCAGGTTTGCAGCTACCTTGCCACCACTGGTGGCTTTGAAACCTGAAACCTCCTTTTCACCTGCCTGAAGGTGACCTGCAAAGAAGAGGGTGGGGAGGGGGAGGTGATGTGCTGGGGGCCAGGCCCTGGGAACAATGGTGTTCCTCTCTGGCATTCTTCCCACTGCCATAAGCCCAGGTGTTGCTAGGAAGCCGCACGTCAAAGACTGCCTTGACCTGGAGGCTGGAGAGGGAGGGCTCAGTGCCTTTTTCCCCCCAACGGTTTTTCTTGAGCTTTAGCTCTCCCAGGAGAAGGAAGGCAGATGCTGGAAGTTCCTTTTGATTGTGTCAGGGCATTGGTCCATGTAGTTCAGTGCTGCCAGCAGCTCATAAGGAGAGCCTGCTGGATCAGGCCAATGAGCAGCCGCCGAGACCATATAACACTGGTCTTGAAAGACCTACATTGGCTCCCAGTACGTTTCCAAGCACTATTCAAAGTGTTGGTGCTGACCTTTAAAGCCCCAGGTGGCCTCGGTCCAGTATACCTGAAGGAGCGTCTCCACCTCCATCGTTCTGCCCGGACACTGAGGTCCAGCTCTGAGGGCCTTTTGGCGGTTCCCTCGCTGCGAGAAGCCAAGTTACAGGGAACCAGGCAGAGGGCCTTCTCAGTAGTGGCACCCGCCCTGTGGAACGCCCTCCCACCAGATGTCAAAGAGAAAAATAACTACCAAACTTTTAGAAGACATCTAAAGGCAGCCCTGTTTAGGGAAGCTTTTAATGTTTAATAGGTTATTGTATTTTGGTGTTTTGTTGGAAGCCGCCCAGAGTGGCTGGGGAAACCCAGCCAGATGGGCGGAGTATAAATAATAAATTATCATCATCATCATCATTATTATTAATGTCCCATCTAGACCAGCATCCTCTTCTCATAGGGGCTAGCCTGAGAGCAACTCTCTCCTCCTGTGGTTCCCAGCAACGGGGATTCAGAAACATTGCCGCTTCCACGCTTCCAGCTACGGAGGCACAGCATAGCCATCATGGCTGGCAGCCATCGGCAGCCCTCCCCTCCATGAGTCTTTCCCAGTTTGGTCAAGCTGAGATTAAACCCAAGCGCAGAAAAAATGTTACTATTTTCAAACCAGGTCAGCTCAGTCAGTAGGGCACGAGACCCTTAATCTCAGGGTCAGGGGTTTAAGCCCCACACTGGGTAAAAGATTCCTGTATTGCAGGGGGTTGGACTAGATGACTCTCATGGTCCCTTCCAACTCTACGATTATATGATTCTAAGGAAATAAAACAGGCCAGGGGTAGGGAACCAGGGGCCTTCTAGGTGGGACTCCCAATTCCCAGCAGACCCAGTGTCCGGGGATTATGGAAGTCCAGCAGTTTCTTGAGGATAATAATAATAATAATAATAATAATAATAATAATAATAATGGTTTCCCCAGCCACTCTGGGCTGTTCCCAACAAAAGATTAAAATACAATAATTCATCAAATGTTAAAAACTTCCCTAAACAGGGCTGCCTTCAGATGTCTTCTAAAAGTCAGATAGTTCTTTATTTCCTTGACATCTGACGGGAGGGTGTTCCACAGGGCAGGCGCCACCACCATGAAGGCCCTTTACCTGGTTCCCTGTAACCTCACTTCTCACAGTGAGGAAATCACCAGAAGGCCCTCAGAGCTGGACCTCAGTGTCCGGGCAGAACGATGGGGATGGAGACGCTCCTTCAGGTCTACTGGGCCGAGGCCGTTTAGGGCTTTAAAAGTCAAGCGACACTTTGATTTGTGCTCGGAAATGTACTGGGGGCCAATGTGTGGTGTTGAACAGCTGCCCCAAACCTGGCACCCTCAAGACTGAATGATTTTTTTTGGGGGGGGGAGCTGGCAGAACCACAGCTGTACAGGCTGGGACTGATGGGAGTCCAAAACATCTGAAGGGTGCTAGGATAGCTGAAGGGGAGCCTTCAGCCTGCAGGGCCTGTATTGCACCCGCCTTTCCTTTGAGGTACGAGCCTTTAGGTGTCAGGAGTGTGCCTTGCTGCCTTGGGGACCCACGATCCTCACCCGGCGCATACTCCATGGAGATCATGAGCGCCTTGTCCTCCAGGAAGTTCTCGTAGTATTCGATGACATGGGGGTGGTGGAGCAGCTTCAGCACTTGGCACTCGTTCTGGGCGGCCAGCCGCTCGTCCTTGGTCATCTGCTCCACGGGGATCTGCTTCAGGATCACCAGCTTCTGGTCCATTTTCCGAAGGCAGAGGTGGACGATCCTGAGGGACAGGGAGCCACAAAAAGACCAAGAAGGAAGTCAGCCCCGAAACATCGGAAGCCATATTGGTACGCAGTCTGGCCATGGAGTCACCCAGCCCAGGGCTGTCAGCTCTGACTGGCAGAGGCTCACCAGGGTGTCAGGGACAGGAAAATAATAATAATAATATTTATTTATTTATACATACATACATACATACATACCCACCCCGCCCTCCCCAGCCAAGACCGGGCTCAGGGCAGCTAACACTGAATATAAATACAGTAAAAACATTAAGAACGAAAGAAGGAAACAAAAACAAAAAAACAAAAACCCAACAAAGAGTTGATTAAAATATAAGTTAGAGTACAGTTTAAAATGCAGCCTTGTTTCAGTGATAGCCTATAGATCAAAGCCATAAGGGGAGAAAACGTCAAATATTCACTGGGGCAAACTACCCATGCTGGTCTTACATGGGCCAGCAAAAAGAGCCAAGGGAAAATTTATATACAAAATCCCATATGAGGGGTTCCATCAAAAAAATTGAGAAATTGGGGGGGGGGTAGACTGAGTCCAGCCCAAGGGCCAGGCGGAACAGCTCCGTCTTGCAGGCCCTGCGGAAAGATGTCAAATCCTGCAGGGCCCTAGTCTCTTGTGACAGAGCGTTCTACCAGGCCGGGGCCAGAGCAGAAAAGGCCCTGGCTGAGGCCAATCTAACCTCCTTGGGGCTTAGGACTTCTAAAGTGTTGTTATTCATGGACCTTAAGGTCCTCCGCGGGGCACACCAGGAGAGGCAGTCCCATAGGTACGAGGGTCCTAGGCCGCATAGGGCTTTAAAGGTCAAAACCAGCACCTTAAACCTGACCCTGTACTCCACCGGGAGCCAGTGCAACTGGTAAAGCACTGGATGAATGTGATCTCGCGGCAAGGACCCCGTAAGGAGTCTTGCCATGGCATTCTGCACCTGCGGAGTTTTTTAAACATTAGGAGGAACTTTCTGATGGTATGAGCCATTCAGCAGTGGAATGGACTACCATGGACTCTTCTGCATTGGAGAGTTTTCAAACAGGTTGGTTGGCCAGGGATTCTTTAGCTGTGATTCCTGCACAGCAGGGGCCTAGATGAATCTTGGGGTTCCTTTCCAGCCCTACAATTGTATGATTCTATAGCGGTAAGATCCTTTTTGAACCTGGGGTCTTCAGGACACAAAGCAGGCATCTCCACCATTGCAGGGGGGAAAGCCTCAAAGCTGTGCCATGGCTGAAATATCTGGATGAGTCATCCTCAGTTAGCTCAGTTGCCCATCTGTGAAATGGAAGCAGTAAACATGGCCTACTTTCCAACTCTGGAAAAGCGTACAAATGAAAATGTAATGCACATATGACTAGAACACCCCCTTAGGACATTTTGCGTCACGGCTGTTTTATCTGGGGAGTGTAACATGTGAATGTGACTCACGCAGGAGAGAAATGATGGGACACTCTTTTTTTAAAAAAAAAAGTCGGAATGCGGAATCTGTGGCCCTCCAGAGGTCATGGCGCTGTGACCCCCCATCAACCCCCAACATGGGCAATGGTCAAGGGATGATGGGAGTTGTAGTCCAACAACATCTGGAGGACTGCAGAGCCCCTGCTTTAAAACTGCTGCTGGCTTTATGGCATTTTGCTTTCATTATTGTGTATAATTTTTATTTCTTTTTAACTCTTAGCTGTCTTTATACTGATTGTATATACTAGTGTAGAGGGAAGGCATTAATGAAAGAAAAGGTGAATTTAAGGCCTAGGGTCACACGGTTCCACATGAGCTCCGCCATAGGCTGGCTCCAATTGCATTTTGTTCAGAGTAGACCTACTGAAATAATGAACAGACCTCAGCCCTGAGGCAGCCTGCTGTGATTTAAATGACATCCAGCTTAAAATAACCACATACAAAGTAAAATGCAGCCGATAAGCCATGCAGTGTTAAATGGAGAGAATATAAAAGAACCTCCTGAAATTAAGTGCAATTAAGTCTGGGAACGTAAGAGCGCCTTTAACGGGCGCCAAAACATCATTAAGGGTGGGGCTCAAACTATGCTCAGAGAGGAGACTGTTCTACTCAATACTTCCTATACCTTCCTATCCAGACATTTCCCTCCAGAGATAGGGAAGCTAATCTGTGCCAAGGTGACCCAAGGAACTTCATGGCTCCTTCTGTGCAGGATTTGAACCCAGATCACCCTGCATTCCTTGGCCACAATGCCACACTGGCTCTCATCCTCTGCATGCTTCCTTGGGAGTAAGCGCCACTTTTATTTCGAGTGGGTTAAATTGTGCATAGAGAATGGCAGATTGAGAAAATGCCTGGCCAATGGGGGAACGTGATTTCATACTAAATTGTTTTTTTTTAATGCAGTCATATGCATTATACATATACATCTATACAGTATAAGCTCCTTTTATTTGCATATGCAATACACGCACATTAATATGCATATGCATATTTTTGTAGCTTCTTCATTTGCATAGGTTCATTATTCGAAAATAGCATTTTTTTTAAAAAAGCTTTCCTAGGACAGGGGTGCAACCTTAGCAAGAAAGAGATGCGAGGGGGAAAGGGGTGCTTCGTCGGGACGCCCCTTTCAAATTGGGGGTGGGGCGCCCCCAAAACCCTGATTGGCTGGAGGGAGGGGTGCGCCCCTCCCATCACCATGGCAACAGCGTCGGCATGCACCCGCGAGGGTGAGATAGAGAGAAAGAGAGAGTGTGTGTTTTCCTCCCGCCCGCTCGCCCCCGTTCTCACCCGAACGCCCCCCTCCCGACCACCCGGATTCGCTCGTATTTCTCCATCGCGCTTCTTCTCTCCCCGCCAGGCCGCGGCCACAGGGTCTCGCGTCGCCATGGAGACGCTTCCGGGATGAGGGTTACGGCGGCCACCGAGGGACAAGGCTGGCCGGGCAGCGCCGTGCCACGTTGCTTGGTGGGGAATAGGTGGGTAGCAAGGGCCGCCGGCAGCGAAAGAGTTAACGGGAAATTCGCTCCTGAAATGGCCCCCACCATCGGGAACTGGGAGAATAAACCCATCACAAACCACACAAACAAACAAACAAGAACATTGATTTAATAATTATTACATTTAATTATTTATTTAATAATTATTGCATTTAAGTATTGACTGAAGGATTATTGCATTTAATTATTAATTTAATGATTTTAAAAATCATTGTTGTTATTATTAACAAGACAAACCTGAATGCTATTTTCTTTTTCTTTCTCTGCTTAAGGGATCCTTGCTAAACTTCAATAGTCATAGCATAAATAAACAATAAACTAGCTGCCAAACAGTAACAGCAACATGACAATAATCAATCAATAACATAACTATCAGAATCACAACAGCAATAGCAAACACTAGCAAAACGCTGAGAACAACGTTACCTTCCTCCCATTCTCGTTCCCTGTTCCCTGCCGACCATTCTCACAACAAGCCTGTGAGGTAGGCTCACATTGCTGAGAGGTGGTGACTGGCCCAAGGGTCCCCATCACGACCAAAGGCTTGCTTCTGTGAATTTGAAGACCCACCCGAGGGTCTCTCTGGAGCCCAAGGGTGCAAGTCTTAGCTGCTGCCCTCTTGCTCCTGGGCCTTGGAAGCCTCTTCACCTTCCTGTTGCCTTCCTGATGTTTGGGATTACAGGCAGCCCAAAACATCTGGGGGAAATAACAGGCCAGCAAAGGCTGCATTCGGATTTTTCTCTAGGGTGCATAGGCAAGGATGGGGCGCTCCAGATGCAGCTGGACTCCAGCTTCCACAATCCCTGACCACTGTTCCTGCTGGCCAGAGGCTTGTGAGAACAGGAATTTAGCCGTATCAGGAGATCCTGATAGGTTCCCCACAGACTGATAGATAAAATTGCTTTCCGTGGGGCTTGGTCTGGAGATCCAGCTGTTGCAAAATGCCACAGCTAGACTATTGAGGGGAGCAGACGCCAGCACAGAATTCAGGTGCTCAAATCTCACAGAATTTGGGATTTTGACAAGGGAAAATTCGGATGTATGGCAGCTTAGAAACTTTGCCAAAAAAAAGCAGCTATATGTTCACTTTGGCAACCCTATTAAAATATGATTTGGCATTCCTTTATTACATGTACAACAGAAACATCATTTTCAAGCCAGGAAAGTGTGAAACCAGAGCTGATAATCAGATGACACTAATATTCTTTACTTGGACTTTTTTATTTGAACCCACATCCTGGTGGACTCTACTCTACGTGCCCATTTTATACTTTTGTTTGCCATCTTTTAATTCTCATCTGTTATTATAACTGTTCTCTCTGTTTTATATGCATTATAAAATGAAATATCTTTACTTAAAAAAAAGTCTGCATTGGCTAACCATATACCCCCTGGGCAAGTTCAATAAACAAATAAATAAATGGTTCTTCTGACTATTTTTTCTTTTTTGTGGTTCTGACACCATTATAATTATCATTTCGATAGCGCCCTCCTGGAGCAAAGCACTTTACTAAAAAGAAACAAAAAATGAGAGGACAGGTCTCTGCCCCAAGAGGCTTCCAATCTACAGACTGACCCCAGGAAGTCAACAGAGTACAGGAGAGAGAGCCAGGCTAAAATATGCTGTTTACTGTAGTTGCATGTACTTTGCAGTTTTAGGACTAAGGCAAGTGTGGGGAACTAAGGCAAGTTTGCCCACCCTGGTCCTAAACCACAACTCTCATGAGCCCCAGAGCAAGCATAGCCAATAGCCAGGGATACTGGGAGTAAAAATTCAGCAACATCTGAAGGGCCAAAGGTTCCCCACATCTGGACAAGGGGATTAACTGTGGCTATTTCTGTTGCAAACTGGTTTAAATATGACCATTAGCATGGTATATAAAGCATTTTAAAGGCACCACTCAGGCCCTCTGCGATCCAGGACATTCATCGCTAATTATTTGCCTATTTTCCCACCTCTGCACCTAATGGATAGGTCCCCCCCAGGAGACAGGACTCCCTCCCCCAAACGCAACACAGCTGAGGTCCCTTTCAGGCAAATTAAATGCCCCATCCCTTTGGGGCAAGGATGAGCTGTTGTTGAGGCATAAACAGCTGGGGAGGCGGTTCTTCTCCAGACAAAGGGAGCTTGTTGTTGGACTCCTGGTGGGAAGGATGCAAAGAAAGAGGGATCTTTGGAAAGTGGGTCTCTGCAGGGACACACCATTGCTCCAAGGAACCCACAGCAGCAGACACAATGTCTTCCCCTTCTTTGATTCAAACCTGCAAGGTAGGCAAAGTGGTGGTGCCAGCCCAAAGGGAACCAGAGGGAGCGCAGATCGGAACTGGTCTCTGCCACCAAATCTGGCGAAGGAGAATGCGTTAGATCAGGAATGAAAAACCTCCATCCTGTGTGCTCAGATCCTATGAGAAGATGCTGGACCAGAGGGCCCCTTGGCCTGATGCTCTCCTTATGTTCTTAGGTAGCCTTATCCCCCATGAATTTCATCTAATCCTCTTTTAAACTGCTCAGGCTGGTGGTCGCTGCCAATATCTTTTTGCAGCAGATTTCCGAGTTTAAGGCTGCACTGTGTGAAGAGAGTGAGGGGCATTCGGCCAGGGCAAATCGAGTGAAATAACTATTCCAGGTGCCTGGCGGAAGCCTTATCCTTCTTCCCCAGCAAGGAAAGGCTCTGAATAAACAAAAAACGGCCCATCAAATATTGTGGTGTGTTGCTGCCACCCAGTGTCAAAGGGCCCTCTCTTCACATCAGTGGCTCAGTGACAACTCGGACTAACGCTCTGCGCATCTGGTGACGTGGACTGTCGCTCTGGCCGTAATAAAAGAAGCCATTTTCAACCTCTAATATATATTTTTATCCTGCTTTTCCCCCTGACAAGGGACTCAAGGGGGCTTACAGCTAAAAAAGAGACAGCCAGACAAATGGGGTGGGGAAGCAATCTTTAAAAAACAATTAAATAGTAACAGAATGTGTTTGCGTTATAATACGTTTACAACATACAGATCATTACAACAAAACAGCCCTTTACTTAAAAGCAGTCAGTTGCCAAAAGCCGGTTCGAACAAGAATGTCTCCAGCTGCTGATGGAAGGAGAACAAGGGCTTGTACGCAGTATACAATTTAATTAATAGTCACCATAATACTGTTAGCATTCATAAGTACCACAAGGCTGCTTTTCTATTTTTAAAAAAGAGGTGTTATTGCAGGCTTCCACATTTTTTGGAAAAAGGGAAAAAATCAGGGGCAATTCCACATGGTGAAGCCACCAGAAATAAAGTCATAAAATGATAATAAAGTCCTTATTATGTGGCACCTTGAGGAAGAAGATGATATTCTCCTTTTCGCTGGGGTGATGATCAGTGCCAGATTTACGTATAAGCTAAACAAGCTATAGCTTAGAGCCCCACTCTTGGGAGCCCCCCAAAAAATTAAAGGAAAAAATTTTGGGTGTACATTTCCAAAATGTAAGACAAAAACAAATAAAATAAAACCTACATACAGCAACAGTGGCAAATAGCTTTAGATACCTATAAGGTCCATAAATTACCATATAGCATATATTCAACACAAAAAACAGTGACAATTTGTTGTTGACAAAGGACAGCTAGACATGTAAAGGGCCCCATTATCTTCAGTAGCTTAGGGCCTCATCAAATCTAAATCCGGCCCTGGTTATGATGGAAAAAAAGACTAATAATAATAATAATAATAATAATTACTACTCCTTGGCAGCTTGAGGACGAAGCTGCTAATATTACTGGGTGATTAATAATAATAATAGTGTCTCCGTCGCGATAGCGCTGCAGCGCCGCCCAACAACAATGGGGCGACGGTGACAATCGCGCAGCGGGGGGGCGTGGCCTGGCGGGGACAGACCCCCTACCGGCCCCTCCCGGGGGCGTGGCCTGAGGGGCTCCTCCCCTGGGCGGGGCTCCTCCCGGCGGGCGGGCGCGCACGTGGGCCGGGGCGGCGCGCCGGGAGCGGAGCGGGCAGAGGCAGGCGGGCGGGCGGGCGGGCGATGGGCCCGTGGCTGCGCTCGGCGGGGCTGGTGGCGGGCTCCACGCTGGCCTTCGCCGCCCTCCGCCAGGGGCTCCGGCTCAGCCCGCTGCCGGCGCACGTCCGCCTGGACGCCACGCGCACCTGGCGCTGGAGGAACCTGCTCGTCTCCTTCGTCCACTCCGTCGTGGCCGGGATCTGGGCCGTGGTCGGGTGAGTGCGGAGCAGGGCCGCCCTCCGCTCCTGGGGCCAGGCTGCCTTGGAGCATGCACAGAGCGACCCCCCCCCCCCGCCAGTCCACTGCCGGGGAAAAGGCATCATGGAAAGTCGGGGTGGGGGTGGTCTCTGAGCATGCACAAAGTGCCTTCCCCGTCGCCGCCGCTGCTGCCTTTGCACTTCCCGGAGCCTGCTTGCCAGTGGACATGCCCAGAGAATGCTCCTTACATAAACATCATCTCTCAGGAATGATGTATTTTGCAAGGCTGGCGTTGTGGTGGCTGGGAGTGAGGGTGGTGGTTGTTGTTTCTGGGCATGTACAGAGTGCCCTCCCCTCTTGGATCGGCACCCGGGGCGAGGCTGCCTCTGAGCATGCACAGAGAGAGACCCCCCTTCCCATCCCTCCCCCCGCCAGTCCACTGCCGGGGAAAAGGCGTCTTGGAAAGCCGGGGTGGGTTTCTAGGTGGGGTGGGGTGGTCTCTGAGCATGCACAAAGTGCCTCCCCCGCCACTGCCTTTGCACTTCCCGGAGCCTGGTTGCCTTTGCACATGCACAGAGAACGCTCCTTACATAAACATCATCTCTCAGGGAGGCGTTCATCTGCAAGGCTGGCGTTGTGGTGGCTGGGAGTGAGGGTGGTGGTTTCTGGGCATGTACAGTGTGCCACCCCTCCTGCAGCCTAGACAGCATGTTGCAAAACAGAGGACATTTCCCCCCCTTGTCTCTTTTTGAAAGAAGAAGTTGCTCCCCAGGGTGGGGCTACCAGATGCGGCTTCTGTTCCCTGCCCTCCTCTCTCCCAGGGCAGCAGCCTGGCGCCAGCGCTGCTCAGGTTAAGACCCGGCTTCTGTTTTCAGGCTCTTGCCAAGGGCTGCCTGCCGGGGCCTTAAAACAAGGCTGCTTTTGTCCTTGGAGATGATGGATCTTCCCTTTCCTGGTTCTACCTGTTCGCTAGAAGGTGCTTCCTGGCAAATTTCCTCGAGGTCAGCCCTGTTCCAGGAAAACTGGAGAGACCAGAAATACCTCTAATAAGTCAATGGAAGGAGCGGGTGCCCCTGAGTGTACACAGAGTGTGGGCCGCCCTACTCGCGAGGAAGCCCACACAGATTTGGGGAGGGAACCTGGTGAACCTCAGCGGGGTTTTGCAACGTCCAAGGAAGCGTACGGCTGGCCAAGCAGTTGCCTGATGCCCTGCTCTCCCACGCTGCCAAGGTGGGGCATCCTTCACCTGTTCTTTCCCATGTTTCTTAACTCACCTTCTCCGAAGGAGAAAACCGGTCCGTCTCCCCAAGAGGAGGCCGCTGGCGGGGCCCTGGATGTGTCAGTCCCTGCCTTGGCACAGCCTCTCGTAGCAGGCTGGGGTTGCCCAAGGGGGCTGGCGCAGGTGGTCGCCCCCTGCCACTATGCACCTGTTGTGGGTCTCCAGCCCCTCCTCATTCCAGCAGGTGCTGGCAAGATGCCAGCCAGAATCTCTTGGTTGCGAAAAAGGACATCTGTGCGCTTGTGTGTGTGAACGCCAAGAACCTGGTTTCGGATCTTCGTGCATTAGGAAATCCCTAATGGTTGTCTTCGAGAGAGAGGCCATGAAGTTCCCCACACCACCGCATGTTGCAATAAATGGTTATGCTTCGTAATGCTATGTTGTTTTATTTAGCAATATTTATATACTGCTAAAAAATAATCTTAAGCATTTTGCATAAAACGGGACAAAACATTTTAAACAGACTTTAAAGAGTGGCAGACATTGTGCTAAAAGCAGACTCGCTTGAGTTAGTAGCAGCTAATAACAACAAGAAACCAATTTATTTATTTTTTGGAGTTTTCTCTGTTTCTGTCTGTCTCTCTTTTTAAACACTTGGGATTTTGGAGAAGGAAAGAACGCCCCCATTTTGAATTTAGGGAAATTCTACATGGTATCTGTGCTGGATTTGAGACATCTAATGTGAATCTTGATTATTTTAGTTTGCATTTGTGTCTGTGTGCAAGAGATCCCGTTTTGGGTCTGGGAAGGAGCCTAGCTTTCCCTGGCCAGTAATTCTGGTGGTCTGTGCCTGTCATATACTCCCTTCCCCTTAGTTTGGCTTAGTTCCATGATCCACCAGTTTTGCTCAGGGATCTCTTCCTTGTAATATGACATGGATTTTGTGGGTTGATCAAGGAACAGGACTGGCCCTTAAAGAGCGTGTGACCCTGGTAAGGCTGGGGCCAGGAGGAACTTGTTTCTCCTGAATTTACCCTTTTTAAAAGTCCTCATTGGAGATGGCCTGTCCTAACTTGTGAATCTCTTGTTTTCTATCCCATGAACCAGGGTGTGGAAAATGCCTGGGGCTTTTGCCGACCTCATCAACTCAACCTCTCGATCCGGGCATCTGCTGCTGTGTGTTTCCGCAGGTGAGAAACAGGTGATGCTAGCAGTGCTGGGCTCAGGCGGGCAGCAACCCAGTGCCTTGTCTCTGATGGAGTAAGGCAGCCTAACGGGCAAAAGGCGGCGCAGAGTAGTTTTGCCAAAAAAGGAAGTAGTAGTAATAATAATAATAATAATTTATTATTTATACCCCGCCCATCTGGCTGAGTTTCCCCAGCCACTCTGGGCAGCTCCCAATCAAGTGTTAAAAACAATACAGCATTAAATATTAAAAACTTCCCTAAATAGAGCTGCCTTCAGATGTCTTCTAAATGTTAGGTAGTTGTTTTTCTCTTTGACATCTGCTGGGAGGGCGTTTCACAGGGCGGGTGCCACTACCGAGAAGGCCCTCTGCCTGGTTCCCTGTAACCTCACTTCTCCCAGGAAGGGAACTGCCAGAAGGCCCTCAGTGCTGGACCTCTGTGTCCGGGCTGAACGATGGGGGTGGAGACGCTCCTTCAGGTCTACTGGGCCGAGGCCATTTAGGGCTTTAAAGGTCAGCAACAATGCTTTGAAATGTGCTTGGAAACATACTGGATTTCAGTGGGGAAAAATGTAATAATTGGGAATAATCACATTCACAGATATAGGATGGAGGACACCTGGCTTGACAGCAGTCCATGTGAAAAGGACTTAGGGGTAATAATAATAGTAGTAGTAGTAGTAGTAGTAATAATAATAATAATAATAATAATAATAATAATTAATAATATAGATGCTATTCCTGCATTGCAAGGAGATGGACTGGATAACCCTTGAAGGCCCTTTTCAACTCTCTGATTCTCCAAGATGCAGCTCAGAGAGATGGAAAGTTTAGCAGCCTTTTCCCACAGAAGATGAGCAACTGCTGTATGTGTGGTTTTTGGATCGGGTAGATAGGATAATGGCTCACATTTCCCGTATTTTGATGCATCTACACTTAATGCCTTTGTTCCTAAGTTAAGAGCAGTTGTAAGCTGAAATAATGAGCAGGGCTTTCAGAAGCTTTTAAACTGCAATGTTAAAACATTAGTCGGATTGATTGCTGGGGGGGGGGGGGCAAGAATCGGGGATGGCTTTTGCCAACCGCCTGACCTCCAGATGTTTCTGATACGGCTCCCAGCTAGCGGTCAGGGATGATGGGAGTCTGTAGAGGAGAGGGCTATCGAGGGCTGTTGTTGTTGTTGTTGTTGAGTCATTTAGTCGTGTCCGACTCTTTGTGACCCCCTGGACCAGAGCACGCCAAGCACTCCTGTCTTCCACTGCCTCCCGCAGTTTGGTCAAACTCATGCTGGTAGCTTCGAGAACACTGTCCCACCATCTCTCCCCCTGTCGTCCCATTTTCCTTGGGCCCTCCATCTTTGCCAACATCAGGGTCTTTTCCAGGGAGTCTTCTCTTCTCAGGAGGTGGCCAAAGTCTTGGAGTCTCAGCTTCAGGATCTGTCCTTCCAGTGAGCACTCAGGGCTGTTTTCCTTCCGAACGGAGGGGTTTGATCTTCTTGCAGTCCATGGGACTCTGAAGAGTCTCCTCCAGCACCAGAATTCAAAAGCATCAATTCTTTGGCGCTTTTGAATTATAGTGCTGGAGGAGACTCTTGAGAGTCCCATGGACTGGGCTACTAGCCGCCATGGCTCTGCTCTGCCACGGCGGTCAGAGGAAGGGATGCTTCTGAATACCAATTGCTGGAAATGTCAGGAGGGCAGAGCTGCTGTTGCGATCAAGATTGTGGGTTTCCCATTGGGGCACTTGGTTGGCCGCTGTGAGAATACGAGGCTGGTCTAGATGGACCTCTGGCCTGATCCAGCAACCAGGGTCTTCCTATGGTCTTATGGAACCTCCAGGTCCCAAGGCAGTCTATCTGGTCTTTGGGGCATTTGGCTACGGTGGGAACAGCCTGATGGACTAGATGGGCCCCCTTGGGCCCGATCTAGCAGGCTCTTCTTAGGTCACGGAGGAGAAGGCTCCCAGGACGTTTCCGAGCACCATTCAAAGTGTTGGTGCTGACCTTTGAAGCCCTAAATGGCCTCAGCCCTGCAAACCTGAAGGAGCGTCTCCACCCCCATCGTCCAGCCCAGAAACTGAGGTCCAGCTCCGAGGGCCTTCTGGCGGTTCCCTCACCGCGAGAAGTGAAGTTACAGGGAACCAGGCAGAGTTTCTGACGCTGCTTTGGGTCGACCTCACGTGCCCCCGTGATTTCTCTGTGCAGATATTTTTCTGCTGTCCCTTGGCGTGCAAACCCTCCCGATATCGCGTGCTGCAGCAAGGTAGTTCTGCAGGTCAGCTGTATGGAAATAAAATCCACCAGACACTCAGCGCTGCTGCCAACTTCCTTTTTTGCTCAACAGCGTAACGGAAACACGGCTGGTCTTGCTAATTTTCCCCCAGCTGAGAGTTGGGAGCTGTGCTCTGTATTGTGGAGTTTGAGGCTGCCCGGATTCTGCTGGGTGCCCATCAATATTTGGAGCCTTCTGCGTGAACGGGAGGTTTTCCTGGGCCCAGAAAGAGGGGATTGTGAGCAGGCCGGGCCGCTCCCTCATGTGACTTCCTTGAATACAGGGTAGCTCAGTGGCAGAGCCTCTGCCTTGCCTGCAGGCGATCCCAGGTACAATCCCTGGTGTCTCCAGGTAGGCAAAAGACTCCTATCTGAAACCCTGGAGAGCTGCTGCCAGTCAGTGTGGACTGTACTGAGCTAGGTGGATGATAAACGGTCTTGAGTTAGAAAAAAGCGACTTCTTTTGTTCCGATTTAAAACCAGCTCTGAGGACTGGAGTCTTGATGTATTTTTAAGGCTGTAGCTCAACGGCAGAGGCTCTGCTTGGCATGCAAAAGGTTCAGTGGCATCCCCAGGTCAGGCTGGGAGAGACCCTAGAGAGCTGCTGCCAGTCAGTGCAGGCAGTACTGAGTTAGATGGGTCAGTGGTCTGCGATGCAAGGTACCTCCCCGTGTTCCTCAGTTTAATACCCCAAAGTCACAGTGTTGTCATTTTCATCCTTTTATTCACAACGTTTTCACAAAATAATAATCTCAAACCGGGTTAGATCATTTTTGGTGCAGGAGTTTTAAAAGAGCTGAAATTCAAGGGGGTTGGGGTGCTAACCTTTCAGGGTAAAAGGATAAAAGTTTTGGGCCTTTTAATAGTTTTAGGTGATGGTAAGATGGGAACTGGAGTCCTGGCACCAGATTTAGAGAAGTTCCTCCACACAGGGCACCAAGCCAAGGGACCAAAATGGAGAAGATAGAAGATTCGTTTGGGGGCACCAAATTTTAGCCTCGCTCAGGGCGCCATATTATAAAAAATGACCAGAGTCTGCTCCTGCGCACCTGGAAGGCCACACCACAGGTTCCCCCATCCTTGGGGGTGCAGAGGGTGGCGAGAGTGAACCTCTTCCTGCCGGGGGTTGGGCTGGATGACCCACGGGGTCCCTTCCAACTCTCTAACTCTTCTTATTCCTCCCCAGGTTATTTCATCCATGACTCTCTGGACATCATCGTGTGCCGCCAGTCTCGGGCCTCGTGGGAGTACCTGGTCCACCATGCCATGGCAAGTACCGGCCCTCGTGGGCAGGAGAGGCATCTCAGAGGCCGGTGGCCGCCCTCGGCTGGCTCTGAGTCACAAAGATGCGAAGCAGGAAATTTCCCTGGTTTTTCTTTTTTTTCTTTCCCCCTGCTGGAAAAAAAGTCCTGTTTCACGAGTTCGTTAGTAAACATGAATGTGTGCCGTTTGCAAATTGTGATATAAACAAGCTTGGTATTGTCAGTGTTTCTAAGCTTGCTTTACTAAATATGAGAAAAATAACTTTTAAAAAGGTAGAATGAGGTCACGCAAGGACAGGGTTTCTGCACATGCTCACCACCCTCTATCAAAGCAGGCAAGAGGTTTTGGCAGACTCCAGAGTTTGCGGGGCCTTATCTGCTGTGGCTGCATCCTGTGTTCCAGATCTTCCCTTGACCAAGGGGGTGAGCTGGATGCCCTTTGGGTTCCCTTCCAACACTACAGTTCTGGGATCTCTGCTACTCTGATAGACCAAAATGATCAAGGGAGTGGAAGAGCTCTCTTCAGAGGGAAGGTCACTGCATTTGGGACTTTTTAGTTTGGAGAAAAGGCGAGGAAGAGGCAGCGTGATAGACATTTATAAAATCATGCCTGGCTTGAAGAAAGTGGATAGCGAAAAGCTTTTTTCTCTTAACACTGGGACTCTTAGACATCCCATGAACGTTGGGAGATTCGGGAGATGTTACAGGAAATCCTTCTTCATGCAGGGGAGAGTTAGCCTGTGGAACTCCCTAACACAGGAGGCCCCAACGGCCACCAATTTGCATGGCTTTAAAAGAGGACTAGACAAATTTGTGGATGATAGATAAGGCTATGAATAGCTGCTATCCATGATGGCTGCCCTCTTCCTCCAGGGTCAGAGGCGGCAGTGCTTCTGAATGCTAGTTGCTGGAAAGCGCAGGAGGAGAGAGCTGCTCTTGTGCTTGAATCCTGCTTGTGGGTTTCCCATGGGGGCATCTGGGTGGCCACTGGATGCTGGGCTAGGCCCGGGAACCCCTTGAGTCTGATTCAGCAGGCTCTTCTGATGTTCTTTGACACTGCAGAATTCAGCTTTCAGAGAACCTCGCTTCTGTTTTTAAGTGGGGAGTTCCTAGTCCTCATGATTCCGGGAGAGCAAGAGTGCTGGGCAAATGAGCCCGCTTTGGCCTGATCTAGCAGGGCTGCCTATTATTATGTTTTGTTTTGATACAATTTATTAACTTTATGATAACAAAAAGGTAAAGGGACCCCTGACCATTAGGTCCAGTCATGACCAACTCTGGGGTTGTGGCGCTCATCTCGCTTTATTGGCCGAGGGAGCCAGCGTACAGCTTCTGGGTCATGTGGCCAGCATGACTAAGCCGCTTCTGGCGAACCAGAGCAGCGCACGGAAACGCTGTTTACCTTCCCGCCGGAGCGGTACCTATTTATCTACTTGCACTTTGACGTGCTTTTGAACTGCTAGGTTGGCAGGAGCAGGGACCCCCCGTCACAGGGATTCAAACCGCCGACCTTCTGATCAGCAAGTCCTAGGCTCTGTGGTTTAACCCACAGCGCCACCCGTGTCCCTATTTTGTTTGATAACAAAAGAACAAATTTTAAAAATCACACTTCTTAACTGACTTCCTGCAGACTCCCCCTCCTGGTTCCATTTTTTCTACTTATTTATATACATCCACTGAGTCTTATACTCTTAACTATCCAATTTTAAAACCTTATGCATATCATTACAAGTGACCTTTAGGAGGTAAACTAATGTAGAAGCCAATACACAAAGCTTACTAATTATGCCTGAATATTTCTCCCTTTTTTTAAAAAAAGAAGAGAGAAAAAGGAAATAAAAGAAGAACAATGTCCTTATTCTTTCTAGGGTTTCAGATTGTCTGATGTGTCCTGCATAGTTCATTACGGTGGTACCTTGGGTTCGAAGGGACGTGGGTGGTGCTGTGGGTTAAACCACAGAGCCTAGGACTTGCCGATCAGAAGGTTGGTGGTTCGAATCCCCGCGACGGGGTGAGCTCCCATTGCTCTGTCACAGCTCCTGCCCACCTAGCAGTTCAAAAGCATGTCAAGTGCAAGTAGATAAATAGGAACCGCTCCAGCGGGAAGGTAAACGGCGTTTCCGTGCGCTGCTCTGGTTTGCCAGAAGCGGCTTCGTCATGCTGGCCACATGACCCGGAAGCTGTACGCCGGCTCCCTCGGCCAGTAAAGTGAGATGAGCGCCGCAACCCCAGAGTCGGCCACGACTGGATCTAATGGTCAGGGGCCCATTTACCATTTTATTTTACCTCGGGTTACAGACGCTTCAGGTTACAGACTCCACTAACCCAGAAATAGTACCTTAGGTTAAGAACTTTGCTTCAGGATGAGAACAGAAATTGCGCTGCGGCGGTGCGAGGCCCCCTTAGCTAAAGTGGTACCTCAGGTTAAGAACAGTTTCAGGTTAAGAATGGACCTCTGGAACGAATTAAGTTCTTAACCCAAGGTACCACTGTAGTTTGTTTTGCCAATTTCCTTCATCTTCACCTATTATTATGTTTAAAGACACGATTCCTCCCTCTCCTCCTCTTTCCTCCTCAGGCCATCATGGGACTGTTTTCTGGGATCCTCCTGAACCGCTTTGTGGCCGCCGGCCTGGTGACCCTCTTTGTGGAGGTGAGCAACATCTTCCTGACCCTCCGCATGATGATGCGCCTGGGCCACCTGCCCTTCCCCACCCTCTACCTGGTCAACAAGTACGTCAACGTGGTGGTCTACTTCCTCTTCCGCCTGGCCCCCCAGGCCTACCTGACCTGGTACTTCGTCCGCTTCGTGGAGATGCGCGGCCAGGGCGCGTTCCTCATGGTCAACCTGGTGCTCCTCGACGGCATGATCCTCATCTACTTCTCGCGCCTCATGCGCTCCGACTTCTGCCCAGGCGCCCGGGACCCCGACAGCGAGAAGAAGTTCCTGACGGACTGAGCCGCCTCTTGTGGTCTCTCCCGGACTCCTCGGCGGGTGGAGAGGACGGATGGGGCAGTGCCAAAGGGAGAGCCGTTGTCGTCGCGCTCCTCCGCTGCCCGTGTGCCTTATCCGCCGAGGACCGCGCCGTTCTCACTGTGATGTTTCTTTTCCAAGCCTTTTCCTTTCCTTGTTCTGGGCCCGGTGGGGTTAGGGGGCTCCCCACCCCACCCCACCGGGCCTTGCCTTACTAGACGAGGGTGACGCCTTCCGAATTCAGAGGGGAGGCAGTGCCGCGCCAAGCAGCCCCCGAGCCGATCTGAGCTCAGCAGGAAGCGAGAGAAGATGGGAAGATTTGGCGGCTGGGGTTGAGTTTTTGCCTTGTTCGCTGTTGGTGGTTTGGAAAACGGAAGGGGAAAGGGTAGTTTCAAGCATTAAAAGCTGTTCTCGATAAAAGCCGCCCCCGCCAGAGGTGTTTTTTCAAGGTGATTCCACACACACGGTCCCACGCGTGTCTCACCATCCTCCGTCCAGACAAGGAGGGGGTTGGACTAGATGAGATTTGGGGTCCCTTCCAACTCTCCCATTCTTTAAGTAAGCTCGGTCAGCTTCAAGGACACTTCCCAGCCAGGCCATTAACGTTGGGGGCAGTGTTTGTGGCCTGGGGAAAGTCTCGAGGGCCTGATGGAAGGGAGTGGAGGGCCACATTGAGCCCCAGGCTTGAGGTTCCCCACCTCAAGTCTACAATGTTTGGGGATTCTTTCAGTTTATTAGAAGAGTGAGTAAGAAGAGGAGGTTTATAAAACTCCCCGACAAAAAATAGAAACTTCCTTCACCCAAAGCATAACAAACTTTCAGAATTGCTGTCACCAGGTAGCTTCAGAGGTCTAGACAGCTCCACTGAGCAGGAGAAGGCTCTTGAATGCTTCCGGTCAGGCTGGCTAGATGGAGCCTCCACCATCAGGAGCAATGTACCCCTGAATTTCAAGCTGCTCTGAAGCAACAGCGGGAAAGTGCTACTGCAGTCAGGTGACCTGCTTGAAGGGTTCCCATTGGGCCATCCGGTTGGCCGTTTGGGGAAAACAGGATGCTCATCAAGTGAAGTCTAATGGGGTCTTCATGTTCATTTTTTAAAAAAAACAGTTTAGGAATTTTCAGATTTTTCTGCAGTCCTGACAGCGGGACCTGGGAAGACACCTGGAGTCCTGTGTCCAGTTCTGGGCACCCCAGTTTAAGAAGGATATTGACAAGCTGGGAGGTGGGCAGAGGAGGGCAACCAAGATGATGAAGGGTCTGGAAACCAAGCCTGATGAGGAATGGGGGTGAGGGAGTCGGGGATGTTTAGCCTGGATGATAGGAGTCTGAGAGGAGATAGGAGAGCCATCTTCAAATATCTCACATGGAAGAGGCAGCAAGCTGGTTTTCTCCTGCTATGGTGGGTAGGACTCGAACCCATGGCTTCAACTTAAAAGGAGATTCCAACTCAACATCAGGAAGAACTTTCTGAGAAGAGTTGTTTGACGGTGCAACAGACGACTTGGAAAGTGGTGGGTGCTCCTTCGATTGAGGTTTTTAAGCAGTGTTTGGATGGTCACCTGCAGGGGGTTGGACTGGATGACCTTTGGGGGAACCTTGCCAACTCTGCAGTTCTAGGATTCCATCAATGGCTTCTGGACCCGGTGGCTATTTTATCTGGAGGTAGGAATGCTTCCGAATGCCAGTTTCTGGAAACCCCAGGAGGAGAGAAACCTGCTTGCGGGTTTCCCCTAATGGGCATATCGTTGGCCACTTTGATAAGAGGATGCTGGACCAGATGGGGCCCCCTCCCCCCCCCCAATTTTTTTATTCATTTTATAACACAAACAGAAAAACAGGCAATACAAGCAAATTCTTGTCTTACCCTTATTTTTTCTAAACATTGTTAGGCGAGCTTCCCCAAGTCCCCCCTATCTGATTTTCATTTTACCTCATCTTTAGCAGTTTACATATATCATAGTTTTTAACCATTTTTTTTAATCGCACTTACTTTTACCATAAAAACATTGACATTTTACCCCTTAAAAGTAAAACTATTTTAAAATACACTATCTTCTCCTCCTCACCCTACGGCCTATATCCACTTCCAAAGCTATTCTAAGACTTAAATATTAACATATTTTTTTCAAATATTCTTTAATCTTCTTCCACCATCTCTTCTCTCGGGTCTCGGAGTCCCCCGGTCAGTTCGGCAAGTTCCATATAGTCAGATGGGCTCCCTATGGCCTGATCCAGCCAGCTGCTCTCAGGCTCCTTTTGGACATTAGCGGTGGCGCAAAGGAGGGAGTGCCAGCCTCTTGTCAAGCAGCAAGCTCTCTCTGCTGCCCTGAAAATGCGTCTCCCAGCCGGCCTCTTGGGGCTGAGCAGAGCCGACAGGGCGCTGCCGTTGCCTTGCGAACGGTCCCCACAGCGAGAGTCAGGATCTGCTTGGCTGGCTGGCGCCTCACCTGAGACGCCCATCCAATCCCCGGCTTGGGATCCAGGCCGGGTTGAGTGGAAAAACCAGCCGGTTGCCATGGGGAGGGTGCCTCTCTGCTGCCTCAAAAGAGGCACTGCGGGTTTTGAGGCTGGGGGGGGTGGCGGCGGCAACAACAAAGGACTCTCTTGCCTCCCCCGCCCCCCCCCCCGCGGGCATATCCCTGAGATCTCGGCTGCTGAGCCACAATAAGCTGTGCTGAGAATTGGAAACTGTTTTCTCCAGGATGGGGTTGTTGCATCCATGCTTGCTCTTCCCCCTGGGCATGGTGCCAGCTAGCAAGGGCACAGCTCAGAGAAACACACCTGGCAGCAGCTGAGTGGTGGAGCTGCCCAGGTTTAGTCCACCCTGAAATCTCCATGGAGGGCTGGGAGGGACACCCACTGCCAGAAACCCCAGAAAGCCGCTGCCAGTCAGTGTAGGCATTATTATAATTATTAATATTAGTGCTTTTTTCTAAAAAAAAAAAGTTTATGGTTACAGTGGTACCTCGGGTTACATACGCTTCAGGTTACAAACGCTTCAGGTTACAGACTCCGCTTACCCAGAAATAATGCTTCAGGTTAAGAACTTTGCTTCAGGATGAGAACAGAAATCGTGCACCGGTGGCGCAGCGGCAGCAGGAGGCCCCATTGGCTAAATTGGTGCTTCAGGTTAAGAACAGTTTCAGGTTAAGAACGGACCTCCGGAACGAATTAAGTACTTAACCCGAGGTACCACTGTACTCTCATTTTCCTTCTCATATTGAAATACTGCCCCCCAATGAGGCCAAACGTAGATTCACAAAATGTTTAGGGGTATGCGTACCCCCAGGAAAAAACCACTGATTATTATTAATTCAATTTATATACTTTAAAGCCCTAAACGGCCTCGGTCCAGTATATCTGAAGGAGCGTCTCCACCTCCATCGCTCAGCCCGGACACTGAGGTCCAGCGCTGAGGGCCTTCTGGCGGTTCCCTCACTGCGAGAAGCCAAGTTACAGAGAACCAGGCAGAGGGCCTTCTCGGTAGTGGCACCCGCCCTGTGGAACACCCTCCCATCAGATGCCAAGGAAATAAACAACTATCTGACTTTTAGAAGACATCTGAAGGCAGCCCTCTTTAGGGAAGCTTTTAATGCTTGATGCATTACTGTATTTTAATCTTTTGTTGGAAGCCGCCCAGAGTGGCTGGGGAAGCCCAGCCAGGTGGGCGGGGTATAAATAATAAATAATAATTACTATTATTATTATTATACCACCCTTTATCAAAAGATCTTGGGGCGGTACACAACATTAGAAATACACTACAAAACATCAATGATCGAACCATAATAAAAGGCATACTGACAGCCTAATAGAAAAATAATCATCAGAATAACAGCCTCTCCCTCCCCCCGTTTTACAAGGCATAGATTATTTAATGGCCAAAGGGGAATGGTTTTGCCTGGCACCTGAAGGCATGCAATGATGGCGCCAGGCAATCCTCTCTGGGCAGAGCATCCCACAGTTTTGGAAGCCACCACCAAAAAGGCCCGTTCTTGTGTTGCCGCTCCGAACTTCTCCAGGAGCTTAGTGGCAGAACATCAGCCTTGCATGCAGAAGGACCCAGGTCCAAACCCTGGGGGCATCTCAAGGTAGGGCTGGGAGAGGACCCCCCCCCCATATGAAACCTTGGAGAACTGCTGCCAGTCAGTGCAGACAATGCTGAGCTAGGTGCAACTTAGTATGCCTTTACATTTTATTTTTTTAAAAGACTCCTTCCTCATTTCTCAACCCTGAGTAACTGACAACAACAATTGCTGACATTGCATAATTATTTTTGCTTCTTATGCATTTGCCTGAAACAAGAGTTAACTTCCGAAACTCTCTGCCACAAGATGCGACCCTGGCCATGAAGGTGGGCAGCCTTAAAAGAGGATTAGACGATACAATATTGGTGAAGGCTGTGTCGTGCCTCCAGTGTCCAGCACAGTCTATCCTGGATAGCAGTTGCTGGGGATCACAAGTGAGAAGAGGTTTATGTTTCCATCCAAGTATTTTAAAATTGAATGGATGGAGAGAAAGCCCAGTTAAATACAAAGCAAGTTTGCGGCGTCCGCCGTGGAAAGAATATAACCTTCCAGATGTTTGTGGATTGCAACTTTATCTGCCCCAGCCAGCCCTGGCAATGAGATCAGAGAGAGCAGGAGTTATAGAAGCCAGGAGGATAAGGCCAGAGCGTGCGTTATTGGCTTTGGCCAGATAAAAAGAGGTGGGATCCTGCTGTCACACCAGTTGTATCTTAGCACAAGAAGTTACTGGTTGTCTGCACTAAAGTAGGGCAAGTTATTCCCATCTGGGTCCCAGCAGGAGCTCAGAAACAACAACCAAGCAAGGTAGATTGTTGTGAGACCCAAGGAGCAGAGAAGGGACTGCGAATCCATCTCCCAATACATTGCCCATTTCCCAGCATAATCATAAGGACTAGGAACTTGCAGGAAGAAAATGAATGTTAAAAAGTTGGGCCGATTCAAATTACAAGGAGATTGTGACTTGAACATTAGGAATAACTTTCTGACGATAAGAGCTGTTTGACGGTGGGGCTCCCACAGAAGCTGGTGGGTTCTTCTTCCTTGGAGGTTTTTAAGCAGAGGGTGCATGGTCACCGGTTGGGGATTTGTAGCTGTGATCCCTGTATTGCAGGGGGTTGGACTGGATGACCTTTGGAGGTCCCTTCCAAGTCTACAATTCTGGAATGGCTTTTTTTGGAAGGATCTCTGCCCAGCCCAGCCAACCCATCTTTGTGTTGAATTTGGACAGATTTCTGGCTCCAAGGATGGGGAGGACTTTATGGGAAGAAAGCGAAGATTAATCAGGGAACTTTGCAAGCCCAACTTGTGCAAAAGGGACACTGGCAGGCGGTCTCACCCCCCCAAAAAAGTCCTTTTCCCACCAAGACTGGCCAAATAAATCTGGCCCTGGCGCTCTCTGCATGCCTGAACTGCTAAATGGGATGTTGAGTTTTCTTTCCTGAACGTCAAGGAGGTTTTGCCATGGAAAAGGCTGCCAGGCAGACGCAGCTTCAGGAGTTTGCTCTGGGTTCATGGACTCATGTGACCACAGAAAGCGCACACAGCCTTCATTGAATTGCTTCTGGTTGCTGTCAAGGGCGACTTAAATGATCCGAGGGAAGGAAGCAAATCCCCTGCTGGAATCGTAAAACCGCTGATTTGGAAACTGACCGTATCGGAGCGTCAGGAAAGGCAGCAATTGGCTGTGATGGCTTTTTATAGCATTCATGCACAGTGCAAGCAAAGGGCAGGGAGAGGTTTTTCTTGTTTTCTGAACCTAAGTGCTTGCTGGATCAAGCCAGTGGCTCAAGTAGTCCGGCAAGCCTCCTGTTTTCACAGTGGCCAACCAGCCAGGGTGGTGTACTGGTGAAAAGTGACCAGGGTTCAAATAGCTGCTCAGCCATGGAAGCCCTTGGGTGACCTTGGGCCACTCAGTCTCTCAGGGTTGTTGTTGTAAAGAGCTCCTAGCAGGAAAGGTGGAATATAAGTGCAATGAACAGAATGGAATGGAGAAATCCACAAACAGGATTCGAACACAAGGCAACTCTCCCCCATCCGAGGACTCCAGCACCTGGTATTCGAAAGCCTTGCTGCCTCTATGGAGGCAGAGTAGTCTCATCCAGGAATTTGTCCAATCCTCTATTAAAGCCATCCAGGTTGGTGGCCATTATCCCTGCCTCCTGTGGCAGGGAGTTCCACTGTTCAACTCTCTGCAGCGTGAAGGACTTTTTTCTTTTCTTTCTGCCCTAAACTCTCTTTCCACAATAGCAGAACATTGAGTCATCTAACGAAAACAAACGATTCAGAACAGAGAGAATGAAATGGCAGGGCGTGGTGAACCTGTGGAACTGGCTGCCACAAGGCGCCGCTGCAACTCGCTCGCCTTGATGGTTCTGAAAGATTAAGACAAATTAACAGAGAGGAAATCTGCTGGTCGCAACGGCTGGATGCTCTCCCTCCAGCATCAGAGGCAACCTGCCTCTGAACACCAAACACTACAGAACAGCAGGTATTTACTGTTCTTTGTTAAGACTGAACCTCCAAAACAGCGGCTCAGGCAGGAGGTGGCAGCGTTCCAGCTGCAAGCTTTTGCCAGAGTGATGGCTTTCCTTCTCTCTGCAGCGCGTTAAGAGTGTGCTCACAACCTGCATCTGATAATAATAATATTTTTATTATTTATACCCCGCCCACCTGGCTTTCCCCAACCATTCTGGGCAGCTTCCAGCTCGGTTCCCCCACGGTTAAGCTGCTCTGTTCCCCAGCGCTTAGTTCAGCTGTGGAACTCCCTGCCACTGGAAGCAGTGATGGCCAACTTGGATGGCTTTAAAAGAGGACTGGACAAATTCGTGGAAGAGGAGAGGGCTCTGGAGGGCTGCTAGCCATGATTTCTCTGCGCAGCCTCTCCGGTTGGAGGCAGCAATGATTCTGAATACCAGCTGCTGGAAACCACAGTGGGGGAGAGAGGGTTCTTGTGTTCAGGCCCTGCTTGCGAGTTCCGCTTTGGAGCATCTGGGTGTCCCAACAGGATGCTGTAGCTGCTGTGAGGATCCACAGCCCATCCACCTCCTTGCACAAACTCCTTGAAATGAAGCGATTTGTTGCACGCCCATCCAGGGCCCCCACTCCAACAGCTCCACTTTCACCCCACTCCAAACTCTTCCCCCCCCACCCGACGTCTCAGATCCGAACAGGCACTGCCCTCTCTGCTAAAGCACCCAGCATCCAGCCCCACTTGCGACATGCCTTCCACTTATGGGGAAATTCTGGGCAGCCAAACCCATTGCCAAACGGAAGGCAAAGGTTCTCGTCAATTAATCAAAGGAAGTTTAAGAGCACCCGAGTGCTCTTCAGGCTGAGAGCTCCGTGGCACCATCGCTCCAGGGAGTCCTTCACGAAGCGCACTGTTAAACTCTGGAACTCACTTCCCCAGGGAGGGGGAGCATCCCAGTGTCTTTAAAAGAAAAGGCAGATTCACAGAGAATGCTATGAATTGCCACTAATAATTTATTATTTATACCCCACCCATCTGGCTGGGCTTCCCCAGCCACTCTGGGTAGCTTCCAACAAAATATTAGAATACCGTAATACATCAAACATTAAAAACTTTCCTAAACAGGGCTGCCTTCAGATGTCTTCTAAATGCCAGATAGTTGTTTATTTCCTTGACATCTGATGGAAGGGTGTTCCACAGGGTGGGTGCCACTACCGAGAAGGCCCTCTGCCTGGTTCCCTGTAACCTCACTTCTCGCAGGGAGGGAACCGCCAGAAGGCCCTCGGCGCTGGATCTCAGTGTCCGGGCTGAACGATGGGGGTGGATACGCTCCTTCAGATATACTGGGCCGAGGCCGTTTAGGGCTCTAAAGGTCAGCACCAACACTTTGAATTGTGCTCGGAAACGTACTGGGAGCCAATCAAGGCTTTCAAGACCGGTGGGCTGTGCCCTGCCTCCCCAGTTGGAGTCAGCAAAGCTTTTTGATACCAGTGGCTGGCAACTGCAGGAGAGGGAAAGAGGGCTCTTAGGCTCAGACCAGGCTTTGGAGATTTCCTTTGGAAACCTCTGGTTGGCCCCTGTGAGGGTGTGGGAATAGATGGGCTATTGGCCCTCCAACAGGCCCTCAGGTTCAGAAAAACCTCTTCCAGTCCTCCGTTTGAACCGTACAGAAGTTTAATAAAATCCATCGCATCCTCGCCTATCTGAATCAGATTTCCTGCCACTGGATTGCTAACAAAGTGATTCGGGTTTCCAATCAGGCCAGGCGCAAAGGCAGCTGGGAAGGGCGTCTTGCATTTCGCCCCAAGACAGCTGTTGACTAAAGCAGCGTCTTCTCAACTCTCCCACGGGTACAATGCCTTTGGCACAATGGGAGAAATCGTAGCTTTGAGACGGAGCCCCACGTTGCAGCAGGCAGAGGGTGCCAGGTTCAACCCTCAATAGCATCTCAAGTTAAAAAGGCTCTGGCGACAGGAGAGTTGGGAAAGGTTCAGAAAAGGGTGGCCGAAACAGACGGGGGGAAGGCTGCTGTGTTTGGGTTTTCGAGATATAGAATTAAGCATAGCATGGAGAAAGTGCTTTTCTTCCTCATAAAGCTGGAACTCGTGAACAGCCAATGAGGTTGAAGATTCAAGATAGAGAAAAGAAAATCCTCCTTTCTTTCTCAGAACAGCTAAACTGTGGAACTCCCTTCTGCAGGAGGCAGTGGTGGCTTTAAGAGAGGATTATCATTATTGGACACATTCAAGAAGGCAGCTATTTATGGCTAGTAGCAGTGATGGCTATGGTCTGTCCCCACAGCCAGATGCAGTAATGCTCCCGAATATCAGTTGCTGGCATTGTGCTTGGTGGCCTCTGGTCTGATCTAGCAGGGTCCTTTTTAAGTTCTTACGACTTTTGACCTGTAAAATTCAGGGGGAGCAAGAATTGCACTCCAGCAGCATCTAGAGGGTAAAAGCTGTTCTCCCACCCCGAAATGTACATGGAAGAGTTCTGACATGGTATACCAAAAGGCTATATGGTATATTGTAACTGTTTCTGGCAATATTATATAACATTGGATGACCCAGAAGCTGCAGTTAGTGCAGAATGCTGCCCCACTGATGCTGATAGAACATTTGTGCTCCAAGAACATCTGCACTGGTTGCCAGTTTGCTACCAGGTCAGGTTCAAGGCATTACGGCTAGAATCTAAAACCCTTCACTTGGGACCAGGTCACTTGCAAGATCGCCTCACTTCCTATATGCCTGTTCAAGCGCTCTGATCTTTCCAGTATAAACTCTGCAGTTGTAAGGAAGAGGCGCTTTAGTGCGGCGGCACCTGCCCTCTGGAACTCCCTGCCTCTTGATAACATTCAGGTGCCTTTCCTGAACTCTCTGCCATGTCTGCTTGAAACATTTTTGCTTAGGCAACCCTAGCCACACACAGGTAGATGCTGGCATGCATTTTAATCTCTTTTACTTAATCATTTAAAAAAAATTTAATTGATCATTTTTATCTGTAACTGTCATCTGCTTAGAGGCTTTACTACTATCAAGCGGCATATACATTTTGTAAAATTACATATAGCTAGACGCACCCTTTCTTTATTCCTTCCCCGTTTTCTTGTGTGTGTGTCTGCATGGCTTATTTTATCAATACGTACGTACCTGGTTGCAGAAGAGTGTGGGCGGGCCATGTGGCCCCAGAGGAACTGCAATGAGCCCATGCGGCCCTTGGGATAGAAAAAGGGCTAACCACCTCAAGGCTCGTCTTTTGCCAAACAGATTTTGGCACTAGCTTAACTGCCACTGAAGCACTGGGTTGGGGGGCAGACAAAGTTGTTGATGCTTGAAAACCTGTGTGGACCCACAACCCTCCTTGTTTTCCAAATGAAAGTCTCTTCATCCTTATAAAAAGAAAACACTAAACGGCTGCGGTTTCAACCTGCTTCCGTCTCTCGCAACATCTGCCTCCCCGTGGTCAGAAAGAGGAAGTGCCCAATTTTGAACAGATTTAGAAATGGCTTTAAGTTGAAAACAGAAGCTTCCGTTTTGGATTTCTGCAGACAGGGAGCCATCATTCCGCTCCCAAAGAATAAGAAGACACATAAGCATGGTTTCAGATGCCTGCAGACCCACACTCCAAGGTGACAAAGCTGACCCCTCTCCCAACTTTGGCATTTGTTTGAAAGCATGTGTGGAGTTAGTTATGGAGCCCAAGATGCAATTTATTGCAAAATCCTTTTACATACACTGGTGGGATTAGACTCAGGAGTCTATAGGAAACATTTTGTACAAAATGCATTCAGAGGTGGGAGGTCGTTTCGTACAATGCTGGCAACAGGCCACTTAGATGATACCAATCTGGAAACACAAAAGAAAAAGCAAAGAATTGCATTAGCAGTCTGATCTCCCCCAGCTTTTCTGCCCCTTGGGCATTCACACCCACCCACTGCGCTGCTCCCTCCTTGGGGGGAAAAGCTGTCATCTTCTAGCAAAGGAGCTTCACAGCGGCCTACACACTTTCCTACACAACTCAGCCTCATAGTGCAAAAACTGTCCAAGAATTTGAGATCTGGGACTATTTCCTAGAAACCCCATCAGCCAGCACGTATTCTCAGCCATAACAGAAAATCTAGCAGTAATGACCAGAATCACAGAACTGTAAAGGTGGAAGGGACCTCCAAGGCTCATCTAGTCCAACCCCCCCCCATGCAGGAATCACAGCTAAAGAATCTCTGATGGGTGGCCATCCGGCCTATTTTAAACCCCTCAATGAAGGAGAGTTCACCACCTTCTGAGGAAGTCTGTTCCAGCTCTCAGAAAGTTCTTCCTGATGTTTACTAGGTTAGGCTGGCCTCAACCAGAGCCAGGGCCTTTTCGGCTGTGGCCCCAATATATTTCCGCAGGCCTGCAAGACAGAGCTGTTCCACCAGGCCTTTGGCCAAGGCTCAGTCTGACCCCATCCTTTGGTAATCCTCACAGAACTCTAGCCCAATGGTTGCCATTAATTTGATTTTGAAATGATTTTAGAATGAATTGATTTTAGAATGCTGTGTTACTTTTATTGTTAGCCACTCTGAGCCCAGCTTCAGCTGGGGAAGGCGGGATACAAATAAATTATTATTATTATTATTATTATTATTATTATTATTACTACTCAAAATTTCCCCTTTTCAATTTGAACCCATTAGTTTGCTCTGTCTTCCATGCGACAGCCCTTTCGATATGTGAAGATGGCCGTTCTACCTCCTCTTCTCCTGGCTGGTAATTCCAGGACTCTCAAGTGGGGAGAGCGCTCTTGCACTCACGTTCTGCTTGTGGCCTTCCTTCTGGGGAATTTGGCTGGCTTCCACAGGGTCTGGATGCTGCTCTAGCCAGGCCCCCTTTGGCCTGATCCAGCAGCCAGGCCCCGTTAGCCACAGCTACGGGGAAAGGGTCTATCGGCCTCTCCCTCCTTACCTTGTTGGCAACATCTAGCGCGTCATAGTCTGGAGCAAGGCGGACATAGGCTTTCTTCTCACCGTCAGGCCTGGAAGCAGACAGGTGGTGTTAGGTCTCAAAAGCAGCGGTGCCGCACCATTCCTACTCTCCAGCCCTGGTGCACATTTGTTCCCTAGGCTAAGAGTGGTGTGTGATATTCTTGCTTCAGCTTTTTTTACTACCTTGAACAATTAGAACTTTTTTAATATTAAAAAAATCATGCTCTTCCTCTTAACGGCACCTGCTCCTCATTTAAATTTTAGGTGTGTGCTTTGAGTTACTTTACACTGGCAAAAACAATCCTTTCCCCGTTGCAAGATGCTAAGATGTTTAAAGAAAACCTTATCTTCCAGTCCAAAACCTTACACTGCATGCTTGGTACCCCCCACTCTGGAATATAGCTATCAGGAGAAAATTGTGCATAATCTGAGATGTCGATAAGGACTAGAACGTTCGGACACTTTTTATATCATTTGGCATTCCTTTTATGACATATGCAATGGAACCATCATTTTCAAGACAACCTCGTCCCAAGCCTGGCAAATCTTGGAGAAATGCTTGACAATCAGATAATATTCTGTACTTGGAATGTTGTTGTTTTAACCCACATGCCACTGTACTCGTTCTATGTGCCTGTTTTACAGCTTTGTTTTCCATCTTTTTAATTTTAATCTGTTATTATTGTTCTCTGTTTGATATACTGTACATTATAAAATGAACTAAAGCTTTACAGACAGCAAATACCCTCCCCTGAGAATTCTTACACCTCTGTCGATCCCTGGAGGGGCATTTTTTGTGCATCAGTGGTTCCTTTGAAAGCATCACTTTCTTCAGTTCAATAATGTTTCCATCATTTGCACAAGAGTACCCGCCTCTCCCTGCCCTCTCTCTCTCTCTCTCTCTCTCTCTCTCACACACACACACACACACACACACACGGTCTCCGCTCACCTGATAAGCGTGTTGACCTTTGCCACATCAATGTCATAGAGCTTTTTGACAGCCTGCTTGATTTGGTGCTTGTTTGCTTTCACGTCCACGATGAACACCAGGGTGTTGTTGTCTTCAATCTTCTTCATGGCCGATTCAGTGGTCAGGGGGAACTTGATGATGGCATAGTGGTCCAACCTGGGAAGGAGGGCAGCAAAAGGGGGCTTTTTCAGTTACTCACAGAAGTGGTGAGGATGAGAGGTCCTCAAATACAGATCCAGGTGCATCAGTCACTATTAAGCTGTAATCACAACCAATCAGGCTTTGGTCGCTAAATCATCATCCTCTGCACCTTTGATCCTTGGCCAAAGGGGAAGGCCACGGGCTCAGCAATGGAACCCCTGCTCTGCGTGCAAAAGGGGGTCTCCGGTTCAACCCTCAGCATCTCCAGTGGGGCTGGGGAATATCCTCCCTGCCTGAAACCCTAGAGGGCCTCTGCCAGTCTGTGTGCTTAAGATAGATAGGCCAACAGCCTGACTTGGTAGAAGACTTGGGAAACGCCGGAGGTCCCAAATTCAATCCCCAGGGGAATCTGCAGGTAGGGCTGGGAAAGTCCCTCCTGCCAGTGCCTCTGCCAGTCAGAGTAGACAACGATGAGCTAGAGGGGTCAGAGGTCTGACTTTGGATAAAACAGCTTTCAACATGCCTGCGTAGCATTCATAAAGCACTGAGATGAGAACATAAAAAGAGCTCTTCTGGATCAGGCCAACAGCCCATTTGTCCCACATCCTGTTCTCACTGTGAACACCTGGATGCCTGTGGGGAAACTCTCAAACTCCCTCAACAATTTGGGGGAGGAGGAGAACAGGAGCAGCAATCATCATTCATGTACCATCATTAAGTAACCATAAAAATAGAATAAATCTAGTTTTATCCTCCAAATATTTTACTAAAGACATTGCACTCAATTATTTCTATGATATTTTCTAAGTGTAAATATTTTACTTTTCTTCAGAAATATTTTTTTTAAAAATAAACAAAACTGTCAAAATAGACTGGAGCTGAGAGGGACAGTGCAGAAACTGATCAGCAATTTTTAAAGGAAGACACTGTGGAACTCATTGCAGGAAGATACTATATGCCATTTAAAAAATCCATTTTTAATACACAAGTAGACAAGTCATGGGTATTTTGCCTGGCTACCAGAGCTTGGTGGGCCACGCTGAGCATCTCTTGGGCCGACTTACTTGTTCCTCCTTGGCGCGCTCTTCCTGGGATACTTGGGCTGCCTCCGTAACCGCAGTGTTTTCGGCCTTCTGAAGGTAGGGGACGTCCGGATCTTCTTCTTCTTGTGACTGTGGACGCCTTTCAGGACTGCCTTTTTAGCTTTCAGGGCTTTGGATTTTGCCTCGGTCTTGGCCGGGACAGCTGCAAGGAGAAGACAGAGCTGAGGATGAGCAGGGAAGTAGGGGGAGGGGAGGGAGAGATCCTCTGCACATCCCATACAGCTTCAATGGGATTATCAGCACATGGCCTTTAAAGCCTATGCAATTTACTCCACATCAATTCAAGTAACAGAAACATGTGCTTTTAGTGACCCACAGAGGGAAGGAAATCTTTGCATAAACTAACAGGCTCTGAACTAGCAGTGAATGGTCAAGAGAGGTCTTGTAGTTATGCTAGCACAATGAAAATGTCGACCCATCATCAAGATGCTGTGGGAAAGGCAAATTTGACATTAGGGATCATCAGGGACTGAAAATTAAACTGTCCTTATACAAATCTATGGTGCAAACTCTATTGGAATATTGTGTTGCCCACACTCATTTAGAAAGAAGGTGAGTTATCCCAGTGTTAGAGGATTCAGGAGAGGCAAGAGTATTTCTTCATCCAGAGCACAGTTAAATTATGGAACTCATTTTCACAGGAAGCAATGATGAGACCAACCTAGATGGCTTTAAAAGGGATTTGGACAAATTCAGAGGGCTCTGAGTGGCTATTAGCTAGGACAGCTATGTGCAACCTCTTCTGAATACCAGTCACAGGAGAACACAAGTAGACAGTGCTGTTGTGATCATGGTCTGCTTGCTATTTGGTTGGCCACTGTGACAACAGGATGCTGGGCTGGCTATATGATTGTTTAGTCTGATTCAACAGGTCTCTTTTTATGAGCACGGGAAGGGTAGATTTGTAGTGTTTGCCTCAACACTATCTTAGTCCACTGGTAAGTCAGGATCTATTGAGTCACAACCTGATTTAGGAGTGGGCTGCAATAGCAACACTACAGCTGTACAAAAATATTTCATGGTTAAAAAGTGGGTCCCTGGGTGTCTCTTTGGGTCAAGGGGGGCAGCATTTCTGAAAAGGCCAGATTCTACTGATCTAGAACATGCAGAATAACATGTAAAGAAATCTGCTCGGGGTTAATAAAGATTTGGGGGGTGGGGGAGAAAGATACCTGTTGCTATAAAAAAAAATTGAAAAAGGAAGCCTACAAGCTTTCTAAAAGCCAGAAATGAAAGCCACTCAACAGTAGGTGAACTCTTACTTCACTTGTTAGATGGGTCTGGCTGCCAGACAAGTATAAAACACAAACACATGTCACCCTACAGCCTCAGCCAGGGCTGGATATCCCTCAATGCCCCTTCCCATTTGGACTGTCCTGAATCTTCCAACATTCAGTTTCATTGGGTTTCACTATTACAAGGGGAGGGAAATCTTTGTATCCCTGTAATTCCCAGCAATCGTTATTCAGTGGCACTTGCTGCCTCTGACCGTGTGGCTAGTAGGCCCAGGAAGCCCCCTCCTCCCCGATAAATCTGTCGATTTTCTTTTAAAGCCATCCAAGCTGGTGGCCAATACCATCTCTTCTTGTTTATAGTTTTTTTTCAAAATAAACAGTATTTTTACTGTTGCTACGACAATCGCTTTGGACCAGTTTTATATTTATTTTATGGTTTTCTTTTGTAGACTATAAATTTTTTTTGTTAAAAAAAACAAGAGGGGGTAAAGAAAGGAAAGAGAAAATATTTCAATCTACTCATTAAATGATTTCTTTTTTGGTCGACTTCCATTCCGTGCTTCCATGGCTTCCTCAAACCATCTATTTCTGCTGCATATTCTAATCTTCCTAATCATTCTTACATCCAAATTTGAGGGCCAGTACCATGTCAGTCTCCCCAACCCCACTTCATCCAAGCCACCTTGGGGGGGGGGAGCAGTGCTGAGAGAAGGGTGAACGAACCAGCAGCCTCCCCAGGAAACAAGCCCTTCTGAACACCCCCCCACCAATTCACCACCTCCTCCCTCCCCATAATTTAGCCCCCTCCCCTATTTGAGGGCTGCCTTGCAGCCAAACCGCTTCCAACTTGGGGGGGGGGGGAAGAAACCATCAGCCCCCCCGACAAACCCTTCCCAACAGGCCCCCCAGCAGAGAAAGTTAAGTAACAGAGCTATAACAATTATAGGGGGGTGAAATAACTCCCTCTCCGCATTGCAGCCCCCCAGGTCCACGGCTGCCCCAGAGAGGGCGCCCCCCTGCGCCCCCACCACGAGGCTCACCCTCCTTCTTCACTTTCGGCGCCATCTTGGAAAGGCAGACGGAAAAAGAGGGAACCACGTGAGCCCCGCGCCAGCTTATAGCGCCAGCTCTCGCGAGGCTACGGCGCCCAAACGCCGCGAGAAGTCCAGCGGAGAGCCGCAAGCGGCCGGGCGGAAGGGATTTCCGGGGCGGGGCTCCCGCACGCCCGGCTACGCAGGAGGGAGCATGCGCGCCATGAGGCCTCGCGGGGCTATGGAGCGCCGCGGTGCGCGACGGGAGTTGTGGTTTAGCTCGCCTCCCCGTGGCCACGTTTGGAGTGGCAGTCACGGGCGGAGCCTTTGAAATCAAGGGGCGCAGACAAGGCTTATTCATTTATTTCAAGTAATAGAGATATGTAATATTCATCAGAGGAAAGAAACATAGAATCATAGAATCATAGAATCATAGAGTTGGAAGAGACCACAAGGGCCATCGAGTCCAACCCCCTGCCAAGCAGGAAACACCATCAGAGCACTCCTGACATATGGTTGTCAAGCCTCTGCTTAAAGACCTCCAAAGAAGGAGACTCCACCACACTCCTTGGCAGCAAATTCCACTGTCGAACAGCTCTTACTGTCAGGAAGTTCTTCCTAATGTTTAGGTGGAATCTTCTTTCTTGTAGTTTGGATCCATTGCTCCGTGTCCGCTTCTCTGGAGCAGCAGAAAACAACCTTTCTCCCTCCTCTATGTGACATCCTTTTATATATTTGAACATGGCTATCATATCACCCCTTAACCTCCTCTTCTCCAGGCTAAACATGCCCAGCTCCTTAGCCGTTCCTCATAAGGCATCGTTTCCAGGCCTTTGACCATTTTGGTTGCCCTCCTCTGGACACATTCCAGTTTGTCAATGTCCTTCTTGAACTGTGGTGCCCAGAACTGGACACAGTACTCCAGGTGAGGTCTGACCAGAGCAGAATACAGTGGCACTATTACTTCCCTTGATCTAGATGCTATACTCCTATTGATGCAGCCCAGAATTGCATTGGCTTTTTAGCTGCCGCGTCACACTGTTGGCTCATGTCAAGTTTGTGGTCAACCAAGACTCCTAGATCCTTTTCACATGTACTGCTCTCAAGCCAGGTGTCCCCCATCTTGTATTTGTGCCTCTCATTTTTTTTGCCCAAGTGCAATACTTTACATTTCTCCCTGTTAAAATTCATCTTGTTTGTTTTGGCCCAGTTCTCTAATCTGTCAAGGTCGTTTTGAAGTGTGATCCTGTCCTCTGGGGTGTTAGCCACCCCTCCCAATTTGGTGTCATCTGCAAATTTGATCAGGATGCCCTTGAGTCCATCATCCAAGTCATTGATAAAGATGTTGAATAAGACCGGGCCCAAGACAGAACCCTGTGGCACCCCACTAGTCACTCTTCTCCAGGATGAAGAGGAACCATTGATGAGCACCCTTTGGGTTCGGTCAGTCAGCCAGTTACAAATCCACTGAGTGGTAGCATAGTCAAGACCACATTTTACCAGCTTCTTTACAAGAATATCATGAGGCACCTTGTCAAATGCCTTGCTGAAATCAAGGTAGGCTACATCCACTGCGTTCCCTTCATCTACCAGGCTTGTAATTCTGTCAAAAACGAGATCAGGTTAGTCTGACATGACTTATTTTTCAGAAATCCATGCTGACTATTGGTGATCACAGCATTCCTTTCTAGGTGCTCACAGACTGTTTGCTTAATGATCTGCTCCAGAATCTTCCCTGGTATTGATGTCAGACTGACTGGGCGGTAATTATTTGGGTCCTCTCTTTTCCCCTTTTGAAAATAGGGACAACATTTGCCCTCCTCCAGTCTGCCGGGACTTCGCCTGTTCTCCAGGAATTCTCAAAGATGACTGCCAGTGGTTCTGAGATCACATCTGCCAGTTCTTTTAATACTCTTGGATGCAGTTCATCTGGCCCTGGAGACTTGAATACATCTAAACTAGCCAAGTATTCTTGTACTATCTCCTTAGTTATTCTGGGCTGTGTTTCCTTTGCTGAATCATTTGCTCCAAATTCTTCAGGTCGGGCATTGTTTTCTTTATCGGAGAAGATTGAGGCAAAGAAGGCATTGAGGAGTTCAGCTCTTTCTGTGTCCCCTGTTTGCATTTCACCATCTTCTCCTCTGAGTGACCCCACTGTTTCTTTGTTCTTCCTTTTGCTACGGACATACCCATAAAAGCCTTTTTGTTGCTTTTAACCTCTCTAGCAAGCCTGAGTTCATTCTGTGCTTTAGCTTTTCTGACTTTGTGTCTACACGTGCTGGCTATTTGTTTGAATTCCTCTTTGGTGGTTTCCCCCTTTTCCATTTTTGTACACATCCTTTTTAATCTTAACTCAGTTAAAAGTTCTTTAGATAGCCACCCTGGCTTCTTTAGGCACCTTCCATGTTTCCGTCTCATTGGTATTGCCTGACGTTGTGCTTTTAGTATCTCCCTCTTAACAAACTCCCAGCCATCATGAACTCCCTTTCCTTTTAGTATTACTGTCCATGGGATCTCACCCAGCACTTCCCTAAGTTTTATGAAGTCAGCTTTCTTAAAGTCAAGAAATTGAGTCCTAGTATGCTTGGCTGCTCCTTTCCGCTGTATAGTAAACTTCAGAAGAGCATGATCACTCGCGCCTAATGATCCTTCCACTTCTACCCCACTAACCAGGTCATCAACATTGGTTAGGACCAGATCTAAAATGGCTGTTCCTCTTGTTGCTTCTCCCACTTTCTGGACAATGAAGTTGTCTGCAAGGCCAGTGAGAAATCTGTTTGACCTTATGCTCTTGGCTGAGTTTGACATCCAACAAATATCCGGGTAATTGAAGTCCCCCATTACTACTATCTCCCTTCCTTTTGCATGCTTGGCCATCTGTTCCAGGAAGGCATCATCTATGTCCTCCGTTTGGCTTGGGGATCTATAGTAAACTCCCACAATGAGGTCACTGTTATTCTTCTCTCCCTTAATTTTGACCCAAATGCTCTCACTTTGGCTTTGAGGTTCTAAATCTTGGATCTCTTCACAGGTATACACATCCCTGACATATAACGCCACTCCTCCTCCTTTCTTGTCTGGTCTGTTTCTCTGAAATAGATTGTATCCCCCCATTATTACATTCCAATCGTGGGACTTATCCCACCAGGTTTCAGTGATGCCTATTATGTCATATTTAGTTTGCTGTACCAAGAGCTCCAGCTCATCTTGTTTATTTCCCATGCTTTGCGCATTAGTGTACAGACACTGAAGTCCATTAATCATCCCCCCGTGACTCTTATTTAAGGATTTTTTCCTCCCACCACTAGGTCTGTGTGCTGTTTGCTCCATTTGGTCTATGACATTTGGATGATCATCTTCATCAATTGATAGACTCCTACCTTCAGGAGCACTGTCTCCCTCCCCCACATTAGTCAGTTTAAAGCCCTCCTGATGAGGTTTCTGAGATTTTTGGCAAAAACATTTCTCCCAACCGTTGTGAGGTGCAGCCCATCGCTTGCCAGAAGCCCATCTTCAAGAAACTGCAGTCCGTGATCTAAGAATCCAAACCGTTCCTGTTTACACCATTTGCGAAGCCAGCTGTTCACTTCCAGTATTTTCCCCTCTCTCCTGGGCCATGTCGTTCAACTGGGAGGACAGATGAGATGACAATTTGTGCATTTAATTGCTTCAATTTCCTGCCCAGAGCCTCGTAGTCTCTTTTGATCTTCTGGAGGCTATTGCTTGCAGTGTCATTGGTTCCCACATGAACCAAGAGGAAGGGGTATTTGTCAGTGGGTTTTATGATTCCTTGCAGTCGTTCAGTTACATCTTGGATCTTAGCCCGGGGAGACAGCACACTTCCCGAGACATCTTGTCAGGCCCACAGATCACTGCTTCTGTTCCCCTCAGTAGGGAATCCCCTATCACCACTACACGCCTCCTCTTAGGTTTGGTCGGGGTTCTTCTGTGAGCTGTCCGCTCCAAGGTCGCCTGCACATTCCCTGAGTACTGACTTTGCTGCTCGTCTTCATATACCTGATCGACTGTAATGAGGAGAGATCCTCAAATGGAGTCTGCTCTTCGTCTTCCATGCTAGGGGAGAGGACCTCAAAGCGATTGTGTATTTCTAAACAATCAGAGCGAACCCTGGGCCTCCTACTTCTTTGAGTCACGTTTCTCCATATATCTGGCTCCTGTGTTGGTGAACTAGCGTCCTTCTCAGGGGAGTCCCCTGTCTCCTCCTTGGTGGAGACGGTGTGCTCTGTTGCTTCCAAGAAGAGCTCCAGCTCTCTAATTCTTTGGAGCGTAGCTACACGTTCCTCAAGTTGCTGGACTTTGTCTTTTAAGAGGGCAATCAACATGCAATTGCTGCAGGTAAAGCTGCCTGCAACCTTTGGCAAGATGGCAAACATTGCGCAGGAACCGCAGGCGACTGCAGCTGTTCCCTCCCCTCCATCTTGAGAACGTGTCGTTGGGGGTGGCTACAGCGGTCCTCCATCATAAAAAGCGTGAAGACAGGAAAAATAACTCCCTCCACAAAAAACCTAGGTCTCCCCATCAAACGTTTGAGACTAGCTCCCCTAAATCTAAAAGATGGATCAAACTGCGTGCGCCGCTGCCCTGCAAGCTCTGATAAGCTCCTCCCACAGCTAATCACCTGCCTCAACAGAAACCCTGCCCCCTCTGACCTTTGCACAGGGAGAACAGCTAATCAGCCACAAAGAAACACACACACACACACACACACACACACACACAAGAACACCCTTTGCTCCTTCTTCAACTGCTGCCCTGCAGGCTCTGATAAGCTCCTCCCACAGCTAATCACCTGCCTCAACAGAAACCCTGCCCCCTCTGACCTTTGCACAGGGAGAGCAGCCAATCAGCCACAAAGAAACACACACACACAAGAACACCCTTTTTGCTCCTTCTTCAACTGCTGCCTTGCAGGCTCTGATAAGCTCCTCCCACAGCTAATCACCTGCCTCAACAGAAACCCTGCCCCCTCTGACCTTTGCACAGGGAGAGCAGCCAATCAGCCACAAAGAAACACACACACACACACACACACACAAGAACACCCTTTTTGCTCCTTCTTCAACTGCTGCCCTGCAGGCTCTGATAAGCTCCTCCCACAGCTAATCACCTGCCTCAACAGAAACCCTGCCCCCTCTGACCTTTGCACAGGGAGAGCAGCCAATCAGCCACAAAGAAACACACACACACACAAGAACACCCTTTTTGCTCCTTCTTCAACTGCTGCCCTGCAGGCTCTGATAAGCTCCTCCCACAGCTAATCACCTGCCTCAACAGAAACCCTGCCCCCTCTGACCTTTGCACAGGGAGAGCAGCCAATCAGCCACAAAGAAACACACACACACACACACACACAAGAACACCCTTTTTGCTCCTTCTTCAACTGCTGCCCTGCAGGCTCTGATAAGCTCCTCCCACAGCTAATCACCTGCCTCAACAGAAACCCTGCCCCCTCTGACCTTTGCACAGGGAGAGCAGCCAATCAGCCACAAAGAAACACACACACACAAGAACACCCTTTTTGCTCCTTCTTCAACTGCTGCCTTGCAGGCTCTGATAAGCTCCTCCCACAGCTAATCACCTGCCTCAACAGAAACCCTGCCCCCTCTGACCTTTGCACAGGGAGAGCAGCCAATCAGCCACAAAGAAACACACACACACACACAAGAACACCCTATATGCTCCTTCTTCAACTGCTGCCTTGCAGGCTCTGATAAGCTCCTCCCACAGCTAATCACCTGCCTCAACAGAAACCCTGCCCCCTCTGACCTTTGCACAGTGAGAGCAGACAATCAGCCACAAAGAAACACACACACACACACACACACACACACACACAAGAACACCCTTTTTGCTCCTTCTTCAACTGCTGCCCTGCAGGCTCTGATAAGCTCC